GGTAAGACCACGCTCTGTGCCTGTCTGACCATGCAGCTGTGTTTTGTATGGTGAATATAGAGAATCGAAGAACTCTTCTTACTGAAAACGAGACACATTATTGACAATTACATTAATTTTACTAAAAATACAATGTTATAAAATATACAGGGTTATTTTTCAATTAGTAGCCAAATTTTAAACTTATGTTCAAAAATATAAATAATGATCTACCGTTTCCACTTTAGCTTTAGCTTCTACTTTTATTTAAAATTATTCCAAACTTGAATGCGATTTATGCGCAACAACGTTTTTGCCTACCGATCGATCCTTACGAATGTGTGCGTGCGAAATATAATCAATTATAATAATGCATTACCACGCATTTGAATTTAAAAGATAAAAAGGACAGAATGTTGAGATTTTTTTTTAATTAATTTTTCTTCAATATTTGCCTATATTACTTATTCTTAACATTCTCTGCAAATTTGGCCGGTTATTGCAAAATAACCCTATATATAGCGTGACTTAAACAATTAGCAATTAGTCTTAAAACAACTGTCTGTGACTCAATTGTAACTGAAAGCCCATTATCTACAACTTATCTGCCACAGCCTTTGCACATTACCCATACAGGGTCTGAGGCTCTAAGTTGACCTATAAAGTATATTCAATGGTCTGAGGCAAGTGATAAGACACAGATATTTACCTATTGAAATATATTCTTCGTAAGTGTAACTACTTTTTTTTAATTTTAAAAATTAGTTTAATTTAATGTGTAGTCTTCGCGTAAATATTAGAAATCATTATATTGAATATATATATATATATATATATATATATATATCTGCTATATTTTACAAAAGGTAACCAATTTCAAAATTAGGCAACCCTTATAACAAAATTGCAACACGTTTACGTATCAAGATCTCATTGAAAGATTACAAATCATTATTTGTCGTCTGGGTCTATTTCCCGCCTACTATAACTATTTGAAAATACTCTTAAAATCATGTCATGACATCTATTGTTGCATAGTAAACTAAATTTGAATATATAGTGCCATCTAGTGTTAAATAGCATAATATACGCAGCGTAATAATATATTGTATTAATTTAATTCACTAAGAGATCGCAGGCTTACAAAACCTATGTGTAATTACATCATTGACAAAACGGAGCCTTACCTTTCTCCCAATACAGACACATTTTTTTATAATAATTAAATTAAAACTTTTAAATAATTAAATTAAAACTTCTTTATATAAAACACGTCAAATTGTATTTTTGTGATATCTACATTCAACTCGTTAAGTAAGCTATTAAAATTGCTAACAGCGCCATCTATACAAAATTATTGGTAATAACTAATCGTACTTATTATTCTACTCGTATTTACGTAAGATGGCGTTACAGGCATAAAATTTAAAAATAAATATCTTCACTCACTAAGATTTTATTCACAGAGTACCTTTGTATAAAATTTTATTAACATCAATGGCGAGTACATCAATCACCTTCGATTTACCGACGATATAGTCCTTATGGCAGAATCGCTGGAGGACTTAAGCACTATGCTCAATGACCTCATTAGTGTCTCCGATGGATAATTCTTAAGATGAACATGAACAAAACAAAGATCATGTTTAATGTCCATGTCACACCTATGCCGGTATTTGTTAGGAGCACTAAGCTCGAAGATGTTGACGAGTATGTTTACCTGGGACAAATAGTCCGACTAGGTAAGTTCAACTTCGACCGAGAGGTCAATCGACGAATTCAACTCGGCTGGGCAGCGTTCGGTAAACTACATGAAGCAAATACAAAGTAATACAAATACTTTATATTTCCTTAACGGTAAACTACGACACATCATCTCGTCAAGTATACCTCAAAACCTGAAAACGAGATTGTACAACCAGTGCGTGTTGCCACTTGCCAGTGATGACATGGATCTGAGACGTGGTCCTTCACTGCTGGCCTACATAAGGACACTCAAGGTCGTTCAGCGAGCTATGGAAAGGGATAGCCCTAGCATAGGCTCGGGGTTTCTCAGCGTGATAAACTTGGAAATGAGGATATTCGCAGTACAACCAGAGTAACCGACATGGCCCAACGAATTAATAAGCTGAAGTGGCAATGTGCCGGCCATATAGCTCAAACAACCCACTACCGATTGGGAAAAAAGGTTCTCGAGTGGTAGCCATGTACCAGTACGCGAAAGGTAGGATAACCCCCCACTAAATGGAGTGACGACCTGGTAATACATGCAGCACTCAGGACCGTGCTTTGTGGCATTCCTTGGGGGAGGCCTATTTTCAGCAGTGGACTCGTGGAGGGCTGTAATGATGATGATGACTCACTAAGAACATGCATAGGACAGTTACTATACTCTTTGCTAAGAACACAAGGTCTAGTTTCTGTGTATATATATAATATTGTTTTGTGATCACATAGCATGACATGAAATATATCCCGTAGTTTTTCGGTGATGCGCACACAACTGCACACCTCTATCATTTTATTTATATAGAAGATATTAATTGTTATTCTCAAGCCTTTGAATATTAACTAGATGTTTGTACTTATTTTCTACCAACTTAAACATATCTCCTTTACAGGCTACTACTACCCTCTTTCCTATTTTTGTTCCTTTCTGAAAAGTACCTACCTATAAAGCCAGTTTAATTACAGGCCATAACAAATGATGCATTCCATCACTGTTGAATTTAGGGGTGGCAACTCATCAGTAACCTTCTGTTTCAAGCGGGTAATAGATGTCCATAGGCTATAGGATTAGGTTGACTGTAGTTCGTATGTCACTTTAATTTTATATAAAAACCGATTTTGACATCGGCAACAATTTTCAAATTACTATCTGAAACATGTGGATAAAATTGCTTCCTAAGTCATGTATAAACTTATTTTTTATAGGCCGCTTGGCTAACAGGCAGTTGGCTTTTTGTTTGTATTTTTGTTGTTGTTCTTTTTTAAACCTTGTAGAATATTCTAAATACAGGCTTACCTGTACCTGTGCTAGCAACTTACAAGGTACTTTTTACTTAATCAAAGACAATATTTAAGTCCCTTACTACATCTCTTGACACAGTCCAAGACTACTTGGTGGTATTTGCTCCAGCCCATAACTTAACTAACGCTGAATTTGAGATTCAAGAAAATTTATAATTTACTAATTAAAAGCACACAATAAAAAATACCATTAATTTTACTGTGTAATTTAAATACAATTAACATATTTCATACCAAAAAGAATCACTAGATCGTATTCACATTTTAAAACCAATATCTTAAACATTTAATACCTAATATGCTTTAATCATGATGAACAAGGATTAGCTACATACATTCTTACAATGGCACTTTATAATACAATTTTGAACACAAATTTCATTTGTGTTTTAAACAAGTTACAAGTCAATTATATCAGCATTTAGTCAATAAATAAATATATTTATTATGTTATGTATGTATTATATACTAGATTACGAACATCCAATAGGGTAATTGGGCACACATCAATGAGGGCTTTAACAACTTTTTTGAGGCAGCACTTGGAAATGAGGTGAAATATTTGACAGATTTCTTGGAGGGAAACTTAAATTGTTATGAGAAAATATAAAGGTTAATGTTTCATTCTGAAATATTAGTTATATTTTTTATTAATTTGATTGAAAATGGATAAACTAAAGAACGGACTTTCCTAACAGTATAAAAATAAGTGGTGTGTGAATAGTGTGCAAAAAATTAAAGAGCAAACCACTGAGAAAATGTTTCGTTTATAAAGGTACATACACTAAAAATAGAAAAACATTTATTTAAAAGGAAACTTTTTGCTTATGGTGACAATGTAACTAATAAATAACTTTACCTCAGACCCAACTAACGACATCTAATAAATGGATAATTATTTGCCCTCATGGAAATACTTAAAAAGATCTTTCAAAATTAAACCTTTCTATAAAAATTGTTTGGGAATATGAGTAAATGTAAATCATAGTTCCTAGTAGTCTAATAAACATCTCATTAGCATAATTTTGAATAGTTAAAATCTAACTTAAAATGGAAACCAAGTACATTGACACTACTTATAGTAGCAAAAATTTAATTAAAAGACGTACTAATTTATTAGTGATGGTATCAACTACCCAATTGTATGAGAAGTCTTATTCATTGTGTTATAAAACTCCAATATTGGAAAATTGTGATACTTTTAAAATTTTACTTTCAAATTTCATTTTTCATCATTTCAATTTCATCTAGAAATTAAAGACTGTTTAATTACACAAAACTAATAATAAAATATTTATGAGAAAAAGCAATTCTGTTTCCAGAACTTCCTTCACTTAACTTCATAATTATTTCTGGACATAAACTTCAGGACTGGACACAAACGTCTTGAAAAAAGGCCAGGTCAAGAGTACCCTAAACCGAAAAGCACGTATGAAGGGAATAATGAAAGTGGACGAAGCGAAACAAGTATGTAAGGATTGTAGCAAGTGGAAAGAAGTGGTCTCTGCCTACCCCTACGGGAAAGAGGCGTGATTATATGTACAAACTTCAGAATTCTCATGACTTCTGTCACTATTCACTAAGCCAAGTGGTCATTGCACTAAAACAAAAACTACATGTGCAATTTCACAACGGAGCTAGCTCACTTCTCTTTCTCTTTTCAGCAGTGCTCAAAATGCAAGTTAGAGCATGCAGGGGCCACCTGGCTTAATGAACTGGCGGAAAAGGATTTCAACATGGAAATTCTATTGTATGAGAATGGTTTTGTTTTTACAATAAATGTTGTGCTTTGGATTTGATACAACTAAACAGTCATTATTTTCTGGATGACCCTCTTATATTTATAATGTTTATTATGTTTATATTGTTATTTATAATCTGGCAAGCATATGATTCAAGTAGCATCTACATAAAGTTTGGACATGTTGTCTATAGATACTGACATTATAGGAATCTTTAAAACAAGTCTCTACACTGATCACTGATCATGTCTAACAAAAAAACTTTCTCTGTTTCAATAGTTCACTGTCATCATCACTCTCAGAAAAACATGCCGCAAAGCCACTTTTGTCTCTCAAAGAGTCTTTTTTAGACTGTCTACTTTTATCAGGATTCTTTTTTAACTGAGCACATCTCCCAGATTGACGTTTCTTCCTGTTCTCCTCTGTGGGACCTGCAACATTTACTGCAGCTTCTGAACTAACTTGTTCTGTAGAGTTGCTGAGAACGAGGACTGAATTTTTGGGTTGTCTCACTTTCAAGTCTATTTTTCGACCACTCCTTGTTCGTGAAATAAGGTTCTCTTCTGGGTTTTCTTTTCTTTCGGAATTATCATATTCTTTACTTATTTTCTTTCTTCTAACTGTGGTAAATTTTGCAGGATAATTTTTTACAGGACTTGCAATAGCACTACTTTCTGCAGTGTAGTTTCTATGCCTTTTAGGATACCTAGATGTGCTGATTGTTTGAATTGATATATTTAAGTTGTCGTCAGCTTGTTTTGTTTCATTATCACACATGCTCTCTTTACTGTTACTGTGTTTTGTTTCCAAAAACTTTAATAAGGAAGTAGCTCTACTCACCCGTGTAGATTTTTCATTGCTTTTCAATGTTACTAGGTTTATAACATTTTGTGATGAATCCGTGCTACAGTTTAAATTGGTAGGATCAGGAAGCCCAGTGTTCATAGACTTATTTACACACATTATTGTTTTTGTATCCATCTTTTGTGGGCTTTGTTGGGATTCCTGTATAAAAGTTTTATTATTTCTCATATTTCTTGAAGCTTTTGTTGCCTGTATTTTAGTAGATCGAATGTAATTGGCTGTTAAACCAGAAACATCACTCATATCTTCAAATTGCCTATTTAGTAGTGTTTCATTTTGAGGTTTGTTATTAGAGTTCATATTTGGTTTATTAGAACTTTGAGCTGGCACCTTATCATTCCTAGACTCGTGGTTTTTTTCATTATCCAAAGGTTTGTTAAGGTTCTTTTCTGTTGTAGCACTTGGGGAAAACATTCCATTTGTAATATTTTTATTCATCATTTCAAATGATATATCTAGCTGACTATTATTATTTAAATTCTGTTTAGATCTTCGGAGGCTCCTTCTAAGTGTTTTCACATTTGGTGTGGATGTAACCATCTTATTTTTTTTAACTAAGGACATATTATTATTTTGCTGTAATTTCATCTTTTTTGGCTTGACCTGCATTGAAGAATTTTTAATATTAAAGTCTATATCCGAACCTATTGAGCTATGCTTACCATTGCTCATGACAGTCCTCTGATTTTGACCCTTGGTGGTATTAAAGTAAATATTTTGCTGTCTTTCAGTTGAACCTGAATCATCATCAAGCAGCACCAGTTTCCTCTTCTTTATTTTCTTGGGTGAAGGCACTTTTACAGCATTATTTTTAGGTTTTAATTTTGAACAATGAGCTTGTTCATTAGGTTTATTGTTTGTTTTGTCATAATTGTAAAGGCATGGTGCCCGTTTAGTCTGCACCCAATAGGCAATCTCTTCCATGTTGCTCATAAAGGGATTGTCGGAGGGTTTGATATGTTGTTGGCCGTTGTTTTCAGGAGATGGGACCATGCTAGAGTGATTTTGTTTCCTATCAGATGAACAAGGCACTGCAGTGGAGACACCCAATTGCAAGTAGCTCTTACCAGCATATCGCCGCTTCCACTTGATTCTAAATATCGCACCCGCTGTTGCCGCTTTAGCTTTAATACGTTCAAATCCATTGTCTTCACATTCCATACACCTGTAACATTTTTTTTTTTTAATTTGTATGCAATCTGTTATATTTGCAATAAACATACTCTTTAAAATCTAATCATATAAAATTATATCGTTGCAGGGTTGCAGGTAATACATGTGCAAAAAAATTACAAATAAAATTGCACGTTTGACAGCTCAAACCGAAGTAAATATATTGACGCGAGTTTAGCTATAGGACAGGTATTTATAGTCTAAAAAGATTTATAGGCAAAGAAATTATATTAAATGCTGAATGATAACATTTCACATGTAAATTAAGGAAGGAATACCTACTGTAAAATTGCCGCTTACAGCTTACACGTTAAAAGTAATAAAGATCATAATATAATCATAGCAATTACCTTAGGAGAAAAATGTAAGCCCCGAATATGTCACTTACATTTCACTAATTTTAAGTCACTAAATTTGATGAATGCTATGTAATTTATCAAAAAAAGATTAGAAGTTTTTACAGCACTAAAATATTCTGTAAAATCAAAAATAAATTGAATATTGATAGGCCATAGACTAGAATGTTGTTGAATGTTGATTTTCGCTTATTAAGACTTTTGGCTTGGATTCTTGTACTTTAAGCCGTGTATTCATTTATCTCAAAATCAAGTAATAATAATTATACGATGCTTCGCAATATGTTGATGCGTCACATTGCATAGTTTTTGGGAGATTTTGACTGAACTTAAGCCAGCAGACAGTTGGCGATAGCATCTCAAGGCGCTTAAGTAGACAGACACCTTATCCTGACATTCACGTCACAATCAGACATCCGGGCCAAAGGGGAAGGGGGGGGGGGAGCAAACCGGAGCACCCATCCCGGGTGGCAGTTTCAGGAGGCGCCAAAATTATAATATAACATGGTTAAAAAAAAACTTGCATCACAAAGCGCCTAGCCAGCGCACGTTCTTTCAATTAATCACTTGATTTTATAACGCCCAGTTGATTATTGAGCACATCCTAAGGCTTCATTCAGCATTCATTCTGACAGCAGCTCCAGCGCAGTAGATTATTGGAAACCTCTAATGGCGGGAATTTTGATTTAAAAAACTTATTAATTCTATAAATAGTCTCTCCTGCAGCGCTTACGTACCAGCAACAACGGCATCCTAAGGGTAATTGCTGCCAGGCCCGACTGCCCCATACTGCACCACTGTATGACGGTAGCTATTGGGCGAAAAAAATAATTTGTACATAATTCACATTACTACTACACTAACAATACTAACTTACAAGTTAAGAAAAAATTGTTACTAACATACTAACAATCTATGGATGTTCCTTACGTCTGAAATAAATACTTATTATTATTATGGGGTATTTGTATAGTTTTCTCATCTGGTTGGGCTGTATAAATATATAATTGTAAATGAAAATGATAAACTTACATAAATATCAATAAAATAAAATAAATACATAAAAATTACATAAATATATAATAACCCAACCAGATGGAAGCCCTCGGCAGGGGAGACCAAACGGCCGAGGGTTAGGGAGAAAGGGAAAGAAACCGGCGGACGATGCGGGCGGTATCGAGGAGCACCGCCTTCTGCATTTGAGCTTGGAGCGATCCGTCACGGAGTCCCAGTCGCCTCAGATGACCCGAGAGGCTGACTGGGATTAACCCGTTCGCAGAGACGACCACAGGAATAATTTCGGCCGGCAGACCACCCCACATGTCGGTCACCTCGTGAGCCAGGTCCAGATATTTTGTCAACTTATCTGTTTCGGCTTTCACGAGGTTCTCGTCATAAGGAATGGTAATGTCGACCAAAAATATCCTTGACTGTGCCCGGTCCATCAGCACAATATCAGGCTTATTCGCAAGAATAGTCCTGTCCGTGATGATGGCCCGGTCCCAGTAGAGCCTGGCGCGGTCATTTTCGAGCACGGCTTCCGGCAAGTAATTATAATATGGCAGTTTCCGATCCACGAGACCGTATTTCAGAGCGAGCTCCTGGTGTAGAATCCTGGCTACTAGGTTGTGTCTGTGCAAATACTCAGAGTTAGAAAGCGCCGAACAACCGGAGATGACATGCCTAAGTGACTCACCGGGATGGCGACAAGCTCGACAGATGTCGACGGCGCCATCCTTTAGGATGTATCTCCGATAATTGTTGGTCTTAATAACCTGATCCTGTATCGCACAGACAAAACCCTCGGTTTCCCCAAAGAGGTCACCGAAACGTAGCCAATGGAGGGAGGCGACTGTGTCTACGCAAGGCTCATGTAGAGCCTTGTAGAACCTCCCGTGGAGCTCCTTCTCCTTCCATACGGTCTCCCGGTCGGAAATGCTCTGTACTGCCGGGTCTTGCCATTGCTCGTTGGCTAAGGATAGAGGGGTAAGTCCTTTATCACAAGAAATAACGTCCCTATAGAATGGATCATCCGCTCTCGTCAGAAAGTAGTTACGGAGGCTGCACACTTCGCGATTATGCATGGTAAGCGCGCTTAAAAAGCCGCGCCCACCATGCTTCCGCGGCAAGTACAGCCTCATTACTGACGATCTCGGATGATGCATCCTGTGGGACGTCATTATAGTGCGGACTTTTCTGTCCAGAGCGTTCAGTTCGGTCTGAGTCCACCTGAGCATGCCAAAGGTATACATGAGAACAGGCATGATCCAACCGTTATATGCATGTGTCTTATTAACGCCCGACAAAAGACTGTTGAGCACTTTTGTCAAGCGTGCATAAAACACACCGCAAACTGACCGTTTCATGTCCGCCTCATCGATACCTATGTTCTGTGACATACCCAGGTATCGGTATGTTTCAGCCTCGGATAGGGTCTTTATGTTGATGGGCATAGATAAGTCTATGCCCTCAGAGTTAGCAACCCTACCCCTTTCGACATGGAGGATCGCACACTTATCCGTCCCCAGCTCCATTCTAATAGAATTGCTAAAATCACAAGTGATGTTTAGCAATTCCATAAGATGAGAGCGACTGGAGGCGAATAACTTGAGATCATCCATATAGAAAAGGTGGGTCACTTTTGTACCTCCTCTCCGAAGCTGAAATCCCCTCCCGGAACCCTCCAGTAAGGTACTAAGAGGGTTCAGAGAGAGGCAGAACCAGATTGGACTCAGACAATCGCCCTGGAAGATACCCCTTCTTATCCTTATGTGGTTCTCCGCAGCCGTCATCCGCTCGCCTAGATGACAAAGGATCGTACTCCACTGCCCCATACACTGCCCGAGGAAGTCTCGAACTGTACAGTCAACCTTGTACAGCTCGAGGACCCTCTTCAGCCATGTATGAGGCACCGAGTCGAATGCCTTTTTGTAGTCTATCCAGGCGGCGGAGAGGTTCCGACGGTTGCGTTTAACCACCTTGCCAATGACCGCGTCAATGAGGAGTGGTTCCTTGGTTCCACGACCGCCGCCCCGACATCCATTTTGAGCGCGCGACATCACCTGATTTGAGTTCAGGTGACGAGTGATTCTCGCGCTCAAAATGGATGTCAGTGTCTTGTATATGGTAGGTAGACACGTTATGGGGCGGTATTTGCTCGGGTCTGTGGAATCTCGGTCTTTAGGAACCAGATGAGTGATCCCAGTAGTGAAGAGGCTCGGGAGCGACTTTTGGTCGAGAGCCGCTTGAAACTGTCGGGCGAGAACAGCGTGACACACCACGAACCCCTTCAGCCAGTAGTGATGCAGTCCGTCGAGTCCCGGACTTTTCCAGTTCGGGGCCCTACGGACCGCCTCAGCTACGTCATCCGGCGTAATGATGACGGGGTCCATGGGCGTAACATTCGCACACTGACTCGCCACAACTTCCGTCCAAGGGCCCTCACTGTGGTTTACGGGCTCTGACCACAGGCCGCGCCAGAATGCGATAGTGTCGGCCTGATTCGGTGCTGGGCCCGTTCCACGTACCATTGGTCGCTCCAATGATTCATAGAGCCTCTTCTGATCACTCTGGAAGAGACGATTCTGGTTGAACCGTGTTGACCTCTCGGTATATCGCCGAATCCGCTTCCCCCAAGCAGCGATTCTCTGCTTCAGGTCGTCTATGCGCTCCGTCAGTTTTTGCGTTATATCCGGCTGGGACAAACTGATGTTTGTCCCAGCCGGATATAACGCAAACTGATGTGTTATTATTATTATTATTATTATAAATAATTAATGTTAAAAAATATTTTTTTAAATAATTTGTTATCCTTAGTTCATCATAAAATTAATGAATTATTTAAGAATATACTGCACATTACCTACGACATTCTGCAAGCTGTGAGCGAAGCTTCAGCAAACTGAAAATAATTGAAAACATCTGCCTACAACCATGAGTCAGGAACGTCTATCTGTGTGATTCCAGCCATTGAAAATAAAACTGCCTTTGAGACAGACTTTGATGAGCAAATAGATTATTTCGCAGAAAAGAAAGCTGAGACCTAAAGGTCCTAAAGGTCTTGATTGTATGTTGTCTTTCCTGGCTATATGTTTTCTATATATAATTTTACGTCACACAAATAAAAAAGTTATTACCTAATACGTAATAAAGAGTGCAATTTTTTAACAAGTTATCTCAAATGATGGAGAGAGGAGACGCTACTTTCAAGTTTTTGCTGCGGTTCCAAAAATCGTAGATCCGGGGCTGCAATCAGCACACTTGTTACACCGTTTCCACTGGTTTCCACTAATAGTTTACATGCGCATTACATACACAAAATCGCACCACTTTTACCATATCAAAATCCACTTCAAACCTTAATTTAAACAATAATACAGGAGCAGCAATGCGCCGCCGCACCGACAGAGTTTCCACCAAAAACTCAATGTTGATTATTTGATACACGGAATATAAAAAACAAGAAGAAGCCCAAAGTGGGCGGAGCAGGCGAATCAGAATTAGTGACATCAGAGCGTAATTGACTGTCAGTTGCAGGCTCAAATTGTTGCAAGCTGACGGATCGCTGCTTAAGTGATACCTATATGCGAAAATATGCCGTTTTGGGCAAAATTAGAGTGTAAAAACGAAAGTAAAAAGAAAAACATTTTGAATGGAGGTGTTTCGTACCAAAGGCACGTGAAATTTTTTCTTTTTTTGCATAGAAACTTGACTAGACATGGACAAAATATCAAATTGCCTTTATTACAAGTAATATTCAACCTTACTTCGTTATACTAAGGTTTATCTGTAAATAAATTTTGAATAAAAATAGCTAGTGTGCGATTAGTGACTACGCTGATATTAAAGTTTTCGATAAAATTTTATCACAGTCCTGTTCATCCACTTACATATTTATGAAAATTTGCAAATACTGGATGTCTATGAAATTATAGAGTGAATGAACTTTTGTTAGGGTTGCTATAGAAGTAAGTAAGTAGTTTAGTTATACTCACGACTTTTGCAAAGAAGTTGAAATAAAAGTGATATTAATATCATAATCTACATTAGCATCTGAATTAATTATCGTCTAAACATTAATATTAAAGTGTGAAAACGATAATTTTTAACAAATATGTATTATTTCAATGACAATAACCAATTGCAAAATTATTGTTTCCATTTCATGAATGATAATTTAGCAAACAATACTAAATTTCCATTAAACCCAATTTAAACAACACAGAGAGTAACAGTACAGAGAGTAACCAACAAGTACAGAGAGTAACCCAATTTAAATATCTGGGTCATATTGTGACAGAATACTTAAAGGATGACCTAGATATCGAAAGGGAACTCAGGGCGCTAGCTGTGAGAGGTAACATGGTGGCTCGAAGGTTTGCTGCTTGCTCTGTACCAGTTAAAATTACACTGTTCAAGGCTTTCTGTCAATCATTTTACACCAGCAGCCTTTGGGCCAATCATACCCAAAGCGCAGGAAATACCCTGCGTATCCAATATAACAATGCCTTCAGGTTGCCGTTGGGGCTTCCACCTTATTGTAATGCATCAGGCATGTTCGCCGATGCGCATACTGGCGATTACTTTGCGATCATGCGTAAAAAAGTGGGATCAATGATGGACAGAGTGAGGAAAAGCTCGAATAGTGTTTTGAGGGTCTTTGCTGAACGGCTATATGGCCCGACATTGGGTAGGTTTGTTAAGCTACATTTATTAAATGGAACTTGATAAAACCCCTAAAATTTTTCATATATTTCTGTCTTGTTTTATTTACTAACATTAGTTCTTAAGTTTTATTTTCTTTTACTAACACGTTATGGGCCTACAATGCCTGAAAAATAAAACATTTTTATTTTTTTTTTGTATTTTATTTTTATTTTATTAAATATAATTAATTATATGCCGGCTATATTAATTACGGGGATATACGTAACACATCAAGACAATTCCCAATAAATTTTGCAATTTTCACTCATTTTATCGTATTTTTTTTTCAATTCTGTTTCTGAGAGTAACTACATCACTAACATCATTCACGTAGCAGTATAGGTTAGGTGGCCTAAAGGTCTAGATGCCAGGCCATAAACTCCAAAAAAAAAAGTATAGGTTAGGTAGGGCAATGTCAACGTTGTATCTATGTCATTATATCTATAATAGTGTGAATTTATTATTGCGACATCTAACGGTAAGAAGCTCATTAATTCTAGAAACTTCGCTGGTGAAAAGTAATATGATCTCTATTTTAAAAAAAAATGGTTCGTACTTAAGTGAAGGGTGAGTCACATAATGCATTTCTCTTTTATTTTTTAATAGCGAATCACGCAACAATTATTGAAATGGTACACAATTGTCGGTACACATTTATTTCTTGCGTATGTGTAAGTTTTGGCGACAGTGGTTCTGCTACAAATTATGCGTTTTGCTACTTCCTCTTGTTTTTAATATTCCGTGCATGGAGTATAGAGTTGAAGGAGAACCATCTCATATAGGGGGAAAGTTGAAAAAGTGTCCAACTGTTTACTGGAAATAGAGGTTCCAAAACCTACACACCCACAATAGCGCTGGCGTCTGAAAAAACTACGATATGAATATAGCTGTTGTAGACGGAGTGAAGGCAGCTGAATTCAAATATTGAAAAATTTTCATGACTCCTTCTTGAGTAGTTAGTAAAATGCCAGTATACAATAGCTCAACTATTTACGTAGTAGAAAACCAAGCAGCTTGGTCGGTCCTTGTTTATTTCTCCATTTTATTCTAGTTACTTTTGGCGCTTTTTTTAAATTTATCCTACGCTACCGCAGCGCCACCCTTATTGGAGGCGTTTTTACGAACACTTATTCTTAAGGTAGCAGTACACGTTGGTCGAACGCGCCCGCTGAGTGCGTTTAGCCATAGTGTACTGGGCCGTTTTGTGTGTATTTGGCGTTTGCGGCCAACACTCGCCGACAAGCCGTATAGTATCGGTTTTCCGTACACAAATCAAAGAAATTTAGCGCAAGCCGCAAACAGCGATTACACGTTGGCTGAGTGTTCAGTTCATAGTTACGCGTCGGAGTAGACTGTAGTGTCAGCATAGTAAAATTGTTTCACGAACATAGTGACATGGAGATGTTTAGTTGCGATTTCAGAGTACCAGTGCATATCTAAATAAAATTTGAAAGCGTTGTACAAGTATATTGCAGCGGCCGCGATCGCCCTAACGTCCATCATCATCTAGCTACCAACGCAGAATGAAACACGCTAACGTGTGAACGGTACCACGAAAATCTGCCGACCGCGCTCGCCAAGCCCGCTCCATAGATAAATAAATATATAGCAAGGCGCGCTCGATCAACGTGTACTAGAACTGACTGGAGCCTTCATACAGAGATGCTCCTCCTTGATTTGATATTTGTTGTCTTTGATTATAACTTTCTGACTTTCTGTCTGTCTATGAAATTCTAAGCTCGCCGCAAAAAAACCCCTCTCCAGCCTATGAATTTAGAGTATATATATAAATAAAAAATACTAGCAGACGTATTTTAAATAGCACATCTCAAAAATATTTATTATTTAAAATGCACCCATGTTGTTTAGAAATAAAAAATAGTTAAATTCTTTCACCTTATAACGTCGATATTACTGCAAATAATTAGAATTGGGTACTTTTTACAGCATAAAAAAACTTTTCCTTGCTTGAATATAATTGCACTATTGTTAAAAATACATTAAATGTGTAGCCTACTTATTGTATATTATACGTACATATACATATTATACACTTATAATTTATTTTATATATATTTACTAAATTATACTATACTGATATAAACTTACATCTTTACTTCTATCTAACTATTACAATCATAAAATAACATAAATAACATAGTCACAAAATGATCACAAGACAAAATAAATATTTAATAAAAGATAATATACATTCGCCTTGTTGTGCAATGGAAACGCGCTAAACAACGATACCGTTAGAACAAAGTTCCTTGCGCGGGCGCATTCAACGCCACGCACCGCGTTTGCCAGTCTGCACAGAGTACTTTTATATTGCCAGTCTGCTTATCGACCTCACACGCGAAGCCCATGTCGCCTGGCTATAACCGAGTGTCCCGTTATTTTCTCGCGAATACTAGCTTTTATAGTTTGTATAGTTTAATTGACTTTTGTAGCCTTTAGACCTTTGTCGCTGCTCCTCGTCTACGGTTTGGGTATTACATATGGCAAAAAAAAGATAAGCTGGCATATATCGGAGGTCTTTCTGGTTGTTATATTCGATGAAAGAGAAAATGAATTATCTTAAATTATCACCTCACTGCTAAATCGTGATCAAAATAGCGCAATCTGTCTGTAAAAAATGCAACTTTAGCCATACTAGACAAATTTAGCCATCTAATTGGTAGTTCACTATAAAATTTTTAGGCTCAGTGACGCAGTATCTTTAGCAAAGAGTTGCAGCGCTAAGGGCTTTGGGTTCGGATCGCGCACGGAACAAGTATTTGTATGGTCTCAGAATAATTATTGCTGGTCTACATATTTCTGCTATTCCTCCTGCATATTTATGAATGTAAACTGCCCCCACGATACAGGAAAAATCCTAGGGTGACGGTAACGTTTATAAATAAATAAAAATTATACTTGATATTTTAGCAGTAATATTACTGCGCACTTTATTCTATGATTAATAGATTCTGATACAAACTAATAAGATTTCTCATGATGACCAAGCCTAAAAGTGCATTTTTTTTTATAGAATAAGGGTGACAAGCGAGCACACAGTCCACCTGAGTAAGTAGTTTCTGTGGCCCTTAGAAATCTACATCTGTCCTGTTTGCGAATCAAAATTCAAATGAATTGTGAGCCGTGAGGACTAAGTTGGAATGTCTCTTTTTGTGGTAGTTGCAATTAAAGACTTTTCTTTGTTAATTACTTTAATCAATATAACCAAGACAACAAGTTAAAACAGTTATTAATTATAATATTTTTTCTTCATGTCCATTAAAACATCCTATCGTTACTTTTTCATTTTTTAAACATCATGGATCAAAGTCAGAATAAAAAGTAATATATATATATTGTATAACCATAGGCAATAGCTGCCAGTATTTTTCTCTGACTAATAACCTACTTGAATCTACAACATCCTCCCCACACAGAAAAAATATGATAGTAGAGTCGATATAATATAATTCAAAATACTTAAACATAACATGTAATCGAATTAAGTTAATTTCAAGTGTATTCACACATTCATTACAAATATAGATGAATTCAACCACTTCAATTTTTAATGTTAATTAGAGAGCATTATTTTAAATAAACATTCCTAACTAATTGACTAAATGCATTTCGTCAACTTAATCTAAGAATCTTCTTGGAACATTAATTACTCTACCATGTCTAGTACTAATAGAAGATGTTCTTTTTTTTTTTTTTTTTTTTATAGGAGAGGGGGCAAACGAGCATGCGGCTCACCTGATGGTAAGTGACTACCGCCGCCCATGAACAACCGCAACACCAGGGGAATTGCAGATGCGTTGCCGGCCTTTTAAAAAGGAGTAGGCTCTTTTCTTGAAGGTCCCTAAGTCGTATCGGTCCGGAAAAATCCCTGGTGGTAAACTATTCCACAAGGAAGTTGTGCGAGGAAGAAAACATCTTCTAAATCGCACAGTGGTGGACCGCCAATCATCCAGATGGTGTGGATGGTATCGGGAGTTCTGCCGCGATGTGCGTTCGTGAAATTTGGCGGCTGGGATTAATCCGAACAATTCCTCAGAGCACTCCCCATGGTAGATGCGAAAGAAAATGCAAAGAGATGCAACATCTCTTCGCAGTGCCAATGAATCGAGCCGATCGGAAAGGGCTCGGTCGTCGACGATTCGAGCCGCTCTGCGCTGGATGCGGTCAAATGGAAGGAGCTGGCACTGGGGAGCCCCTGCCCAGAGATGGGAACAGTATTCCATGTGAGGCCGAACCTGCGCCTTGTAAAGTTGCAGGCGGTGTGCCGGCATGAAATACTGTCCCGCTCTGCTGAGCACGCCAAGCTTTTTAGAGGCCAATTTGGCCTTCTCTTCCAAGTGACCACGAAACTGCACGTCACTCGATATGTCGACTCCGAGGATACCGATACTGGCTGAGGCAAGAAGGGGAGTGCCTTGAAACTGAGGAGATACGACAAAGGGGTTCTTTTTAGCGGTAAACGCGCAAACTTGTGTCTTCTGAGGATTAAACTGGACTAGATTTAGTCGCCCCCAATCCGAGACTTTGTCCAGCAAAGACTCGACTTCAGACACAAGTTTGTTCCGGTACTCGGCGACGTTTTCCCGAGAAATATTGGCCCGGCCGGTGTATAGAGCATCACCAGTGCTGTCATCCGCATAGCAATGAATGTTACCAGTTAGCAACATATCATTGATATGCAGAAGAAACAGCGTTGGTGATAGCACACAGCCTTGTGGAACACCAGCGTTAATAGGCTTGTAGTCAGAACATGCACCGTCTACAACGACCTTGATGCTCCGATCTGCAAGAAAGCTGGTGATCCAATTGCACAATTTCTCGGGAAGCCCATAGGAAGGCAGCTTCGAAAGAAGCGCTTTGTGCCAAACCCGATCAAAGGCCTTCGCAATGTCCAAACTAACGGCCAACGCCTCCCCCTTGGACTCTACTGCCTTCGCCCATCTATGGGTCAGGTAGACCAGAAGATCACCAGCTGATCGACCCCGACGAAAACCGTATTGGCGGTCACTAATCAGCTGGTGATCCTCAAGGTACCGGATGAGCTGGCAGTTAATAATGGATTCCATTATTTTGGAGAACAAGGAGGTGATCGCGATAGGCCTATAGTTGGACGGGTCTGAGCGGTCGCCTTTTTTAGGGATCGGGTGGACAAAAGCTGTCTTCCATGAATTCGGGACTACGCCTTGGGAGTAGGAGTACCGGAAAAGACGCGTTAGGACCGGTGCCAACTCCGGAGCACACGTCCTCAGCACAATTGGGGGGATTCCGTCAGGCCCACTCGACTTCTGGATGTCCAGGGAGAGAAGTGCTTTGCGAACTGAGCGCTGTGAGAATAGCACATCCGGCATGGAGCACTCACACCGCGGGATGGTCGGCGGTATTTTCCCCCCGTCATCAAGAGTCGAGTTGGACGCAAAAAGGGAGCCTAAAAGGTCGGCTTTGTCTTTTGCGTCTTGGGCCAGTGAGTCGTTCGAGGTAAATCAGATGATATTATGTCCGAATTCAAAGTCGCCTGGGAACTATAATCCTTAATGTTAGGGTTAGTCTCTGTCTTATTTCTATTAGTAGATGGACTGGCCCTGTGCCATTCGTTTGTAACTGTTGTTAATTCCAGTGGGTAAAGACTTTGTACAGCTCTAACCAATTCACCGGTAGCTGTTTGTACTTTTGCAACTCTACAATTACCATCAGCACCTATAATTAACTCCTTTATAATACCTAATGGCCAATATAGCCGACTAGTGTCAGTTTCAATAACAACAATATCGTTTAATTTCGGCAAATTTTGTTTACATCTATCTTTACTACAAATTAAAGCAATATATTCGTTTCTAAAACGTTGTCGAAAATCTGCACGTAATTTGTTTAGATATTGTAAACGAATATTTATGTTTTTTGCATCAATCAGATCTAAATCAGGCATCTCACTATTATCTAAGGGATGTAGAAACATCATTGGAGTAAGTGGTTTAAGAGAGTCATCAGCTGTTGCTACGTATGTCAATGGTCGGCTGTTAATGATTGCTTCGCAGTCACAAATTATTGTTGATAATTCAATAAAAGTTAAGGATTGTTTTCCCAAGATTCTTCTTAACATTTCCTTTACTACCTTTATAAGGCGCTCCCACCATCCTCCCCACCAGGGCGCACGTGGAGGTACAAAACGCCACTTGATAGCTGGTGGAACTACGCTAGTTGCTGCTTCGACTTTTGCCCAATCAACCTCTTTTAATAAATTGGCTGAACCTTGAAAATTCGTACCACTGTAGTGCCCTGTAGACTCCCCTTTACCTCCGACAATATACATTTATAAAATTAGTATTAAGTATAGAATAGAGGGACAGTATAATTAAAGTTCTTGTACAAGCAACACGTCTCCTTCATTCAGCACCTTCCGAGTTCCGACATTACATGGCGACCCTACCAGGCGGTGCACTGCGACAATGCACGCGCACCGCCGCGGCCTATTACTTACAAGAAAAAAAAAATATTATAAGAAATCTAATTTAAATTATGAAAAAAAAAATTAACGGCAATACCGGAAGTGACGAATAATAATAAGAATATAAGAAAAGGACTGATATTACTATTATTTTAAAGAAATTACAGAAAGTATTTAATAAACTAATGAAGATCAACTTAAAAAGATAAACTTTATGAAAATTTCAAAGGTAATATGAAGAATAAAATACTTAATATTGATAATTATGAGAAGTATAATGAAGAAAGGAACAGCAGTTGTACCCTAGCAAGCTTAACCCAGAAGAATGTGAAATTTGAGTCAGAAAGTACAAGAAGATATTAAGAGGTAACTTCGCACCTTTGTGATTTTATCTCCATCTAAAACTTTATTTATCATTTTGTGATTGTTTTTATGTTCTTTTTGCTATTATATTTTATGAATTTAAGTATTAAATATTCCATATTTAATACACCTATGTTTAAATTGAAAGTAATTATCAGATAATTTACGATTCAATAGATTTTTTAATATTTTATTACTGTATCTGAAAAAATAATCAAAAAGCAATAATTATAAATTAAGTTATGTATGCACTTCTGTGGAATGTTTTATTAAGGTACAAGACGATTTATATTCACTTTTTTTTCAGTTATTGCCATATATTATTTTATAACTGTGTCGTGCAAAAATTAATGAAATAATGTGATTTATTACATTTTTACGTCCTTACACTTACTATAGTTCATCATAAATTAATTTTTTTTCATACCTTTTATTCAGTAATTGATTTGCAAAAAAAAATTATGAAATAATACGAAAGATAAAAATTTTACGTACTTAATTTCACCAAATTTAGGGTTAAAATAACATTGTGATACATTTCGTTGTTTTTTCTGTAGTCTTTTAATATAAAATTATACAATTCATTCAACAAACAAATTCTACACATTCAACACCATATTTTTTATTATGTTTTAGTCTATATAAAATAAAATAAAAAACACATAATGCATTTAATATTAAATTTACGTTATTTACAAGTAACTTGAAAATATTTGTCACATTTTATAATATTTCTACTATATTCAAAAAACAACAATATATTAAGCTACATTTTAGGATGATCAGGTTCGGATTAAAAGCAAATATATTTTAAATCTAACCCAAATTTATTTCTGTAGTAATTTTTATTTAAATGTATATAATTTTGAAGGATTAAAAAAAAATCGCTATTAATAAAAGTCATAAGTATTTTTCTTCTTTTCTAAAGGTATGAAAACCTTGAAACGATTTTAAAGTTATAAATAAATAAATATATATTCTTTAATAAATAACCTGAAAGTTAATATAACCTACTTAAAAATGAAAATCATTCTTCTCTTTGTTTAAATAAATTAATGTTTTGTTTATATAAACTGGGTAGCCGTTATATTGACGACGACTTATGTTCCCATTATTATTTCTTTGTTCTTTTGGCTCATTTTATAGTTAAAATAACACTTTTTCTTTTAACGACCACAAACTAATCTAGATAAGTTAAATTCAATTTCAATTCAAAATTCAAATGTAACAATCTTTACACAGTGAATATAATAAGTATGCTAAACTTTTCTTATGAATGATATATCTATAAATATGACATGTTTGCAATGAGCTTATCTTAAAACAGTAGAGAGCAACATGCGATATATGAACAGGTGCATAAAAATAAATCATAACAACATTCTAATAAAGACGAAAATAATAATATCAAAAAATAAATAAGAAATGACCTGTAAACACGTGGATAATAATAAATATAAATAATAATAACGTGTAACATAAATATGAAAATAATGAAATACTGTAAAATAAAATAAAAATAATTAAGAGGTTTAATAATAATGTTCCCTAACAGTTAAAAACGGCAAAAAAAAAATAGACTGACAAAAATGTTATCCAGTTTGTACAAAATTAGAATGTATGTAATTAAAAGATATGAGGAATGGAAGAAAAGAATGTTCGAAAGTGTGAATACGAATGATCGAGTTGCTAAGTTTCCTCAATATTGGACTGATCACCCAAATATTGATGAATGCTTAAACTCTTGGTATGGAACTCATTATGAGCGAGAATAATGCAAATTAGTATATGGAAGTGGAGCATGCAAGTGAATAAAAATACCCGATACACCCAAACAGATATTAAGATGTAAAAAAAAAAAACACGGTCATGTATTAATAAAGAAGCAAAAGGGTTTATTAAGAGAATAGAAATAAAATATATTATAATGACCTTGATAAATAAATCATGGAGAGATACGGGAACGTCCATCACTGGTAAAGCATATAGTCCTCGAGCAGGGTATGTTTCCATGATTGGATGATAAAATCGGAAGTAACGGGTACTAGGGAACAATACCTTCAGTACAAATGAGATGTGAACGAGTTTACTCATATTAGTAATGTTGGGGACCAGAGAAGTCTTAAATTTGTTACCCTTAATAATGGTACATAGAGGTCACATCCTTCATTGGATCATAGTGTGAACTTAGTTTTCCTCCGTGACAATTGTTGGAGTCCTTTTAAAATGACTTAAAAGTTGACCTCAAGGTTGTGCGCACAACCCAAGGTACAGTTCTACCTTGAGATAGTATGATAAAAAAAAGTTTATGTACCAATAAAATGAAATGAATGTTATGAAAATGTAATATAATACCCAAGTAAATGGGGGGCCCATATTTATAAAGTACCCGCGTGATAAATATCACGAAATAAAATATAAATAAAGTGAATTAATACTCCGATTCCCGATATCTAATTAATAAATAAATATATAAGTGAATTGAATTACGAAAATAAATTAAGCTAGCTAAAAGGTCAAAAGAATAAATTATTATGAAAGGAAAGAAAGTATGTACATACAAGAATTATAAAAGAAAATATAAATACATATATGTATAACTTAAGGCCTAATAATTTAAACAAAGTAAATAGGAGTAGTCGTACTGGTATGAAATTAAGTACAATGAAATGAGAAAATTTTAAATCATAAAAGGACATGACAAAAAATAAAATGTGTTACATACAAGGTATTAAGGGGATCCCCGACCAAATCTATAAAGTGAGATAGGTAGTTATTTGCATTTCTTTACTAGGATGCAACCCAAAATGCTACCTACTAGTTGCACATGTAGTTGCATATAGGATCGATCCACATAACTGCATGTATAATTAAATAAATACCTAATATAATACACGTGTTATAATCATATAGCAAATAATATATTTTATCCATAATCGCAATAATTAAGAGTATAGGACTTAAAATAAAATAAAATCATAATATAAATTATTATTGCAATAGGTACATATTATACACGTAATAATAATAATTACGTTATAAAAATAATGAATAGTTATAAAAGATTGTTTCGTATTATATAAAATCAATTAATCAAAGTTCAAAATCCAACAAAAAAAAAAAATAGGGAAGGAGATGTTGAAATAAATTAGAGATACGAACGTAATCAGAGTAGAGTATAAATATTATATTTATACAATAAAGTACAGTGCATGGCGCACATTTCAGCCAACTAACAATTATATAACACTCACAAATTAAACATGTTGTAATTATAGACACACAACCACATGTACACAAAAACATCAATAATTAAATATGAAAAAAAAAAACATTTTCGCGCATATATTTCGCGTATATTTTATATGAATTCACAAGATTTTTTTCCTTAAAATAATAATTTAACCTTGAATTTTATATTTTATGTTATGTTTTTTTGTTTATGTAAAAGTTGAACAATTTTAAATTAAATTTGGTTAATATATTGTTTTAAAATCAAGTCGAAACAGTATCGATCCGCTATTACTTATATAAGTTTCATAATGTAATATTTTTTTTCTTTTATAGACAATAAAACCAAATATTATGTTATTATATACCAAAAATACTATACAAACATATATTTTGCTATACAAACTTATATTTGTGTAATAACCTATGTTTTCATAAATCTACATTTCAAATGAGATAAACACATTTCTTAGGAGTCATGTAATCTAAAAAAGGTATTAATGCGTTTACGACTTTTAATGATAAATAACATTTATAATAATAAATACTTGGTAATGTATGTAAATTTATTACGACACAATGCAATGTAAAATATTTAATACGTAAATTAAAAAGTGTTTAATACCAGAATTTTCAGATACATTTTAAGTGTATTCATAATAAAACATTTTGAAAGTTATGGTAAAATTTTGTAATAAAGAATATCTGATAAAGAAGTTAAATAAATACCTAATAGTTAACTAAATGTAAAAATAAAAAATAAATCAAGCTAAACTATTGAACCGAGTAAGCAAAACGTGTCCTTCTCATTGACACATTTCCTTATATCTCTATATCACATGTTTTTTTCCTATAGTAAATTTTATTTAAATTTAAGATTCAATTTGAAAAGAGTTAAAGCAATTAAGTATTAATTATAAGGGTTAGCTTTTCTTTTCTTTTATAAAAGCAAGGACCTTAAATTTATGTAATAACCTACTTAAAAACTAAAAGTGTTCTTTTGAATGTTTAAAATTTTAATGTTTTGTTGCGTAAAGTTGATATGTGTTACAGTGATTATTCAATTATTTTCTGTAAACGATATAGTAAATATCATACTCCCAGAAATTGTAATTAATAACGCATTTTTTTATCCATATATGTATGTAATAATAACATCATACGATGTAATCGCAAACTTTCCCATAAACGTACTTTGGAATTGAAAACAAAAGTGTCACAAATCGCTTACGCAGCTGGGATCGCAATTTGTATTTTGATCTGTCTTTTGTTATGTGATTATGTTATTGTTATTGAAAATGATTACGTTGCTTTGACTTCTTTGTTCTGTTCATCTTAATATGAAATGTAATAATTTGTTTTCGGTTTCGTGTTAAAACTTTTAAATCGTAAAATTTTAAACTATTATAATTTATTAAATTCTTGGAAAATAGTACGTATTTGTTTAGACCATGAAAATATTTACTTCGCTTAATACGATTTTGAAACTCATTTTGTTATGTAGATAATTAAGTAATTAATTTAAAATTTGTTGTACCCATATTGTGAGCCTCGATTCTTAAAAATATGTATATGTAAAGGAAATAATTCTTCTCTCAAATGACATATAATTTTTATGACAAAGTTAAGTTACTCGTACGTAACTAATTTTATTAACTGAAATAAGAATCATAAAAAGGACTATATACATTGGCCATGTTCTTAATGATGTATACGCGAGCTGTGTACGTGAAAGAAAAGACACAATTATTTGATGAATATTATTATTAATGATATTTAATGCCATGCAGTAAAATGAAAAATAAATAATAGTTACCGAAGAATAAAGTAAATATATAAAGTTAATAAAAAAGTGAATTAAATAAAAGTATCTTGAAATGTAAAACAAAATATAAGAAAATATTTTTTTAGAGTTTATAAAAAAAAAATGTAATCATTAATTTTTTTTTTATTTTTTGGTCGGTGGGAGGTGTAGTGCCCTGTAGACTCCCCTTTACCTCCGACAATATACATTTATAAAATTAGTATTAAGTATAGAATAGGGGGACAGTATAATTAAAGTTCTTGTACAAGCAACACGTCTCCTTCATTCAGCACCTTCCGAGTTCCGACATTACACCACAATCAGTATATATAATGTTTATGCGGCCCCTTCGAGCTATGAAACGACGTAAGGCCATCAAGAAACTATTTGTGGATAAAGATTCCACAAGCTCTAGGTGAACTGCTCTATATGTAGCACAAGTAAATAATACTATCCAACATTTGCTTTGGTCACGGAGATGTAGAGGTCCCGCTAAATCTATACCAGTTATCTGGAATGCTGCATTTGCCTCAACTCTGTTTGATGGCAATGGTGCTTCAGGAACCTCGTAATGTTTTGTCTTGTATCTCTTACATATAACACATTTAGAAACAACGCTTTTAACAAGACGTCTTAGGTTTAAAATCCATAAATTGTTTCTGAGGTTGGATAGTAAGAGCTGAGTTCCTCCATGATTTAACTTTTCATGTCTCTGTCGCACTAACCGCTGTACGATTTCGTTTTTTCCTGGTAGAAGTATTGGCCTTACAAAATTCTTGTCTTCTTTACTCAAATCTAAACGTGTTTTTACTCTTATCACCCCATCGGCATCTATTTCTGTATTTATATTATGTAACGAAAACCCTTCTGTAAAATTCTCTTTCTGTAATAATTTAATTAGTGTCTTTTCTGCATTGATATATTCATCATTTGTTATGTCTGACTCCTTTATGCCAAACTTTATTTTTATTTTACAATTCATACGTAATATCCATGCCACAAGTCTAACTATGCGGTTATATTTTGAAAAATATGTCAATTTTTGACTGAATGGTTCTATTGTGACATTTGTATTAATCTTGGCGTTTTTGGTTACTTCTGCTTCTACAATCTCTTCATTGACATTTATAATGTTTGATTTTGGCCAATCCTTCTCATTAAGCTTCAACCATGCTGGGCCTTCCCACCATCTACTTTCCATAAGCTTCTTTGCGTCACAACCTCGTGATGGAAGATCTGATGGATTGTACTCACCAGGTAGATGGTACCAATCGTCACGATTGGTTGTTGAGCATATTTCTTTCACTCTATTGGAAACAAATGGTTTCCAATGTGCTTGTCTTTTTAGCCATGATAGCACCACAGCAGAGTCAGTCCAAAAATAAACCTTGTATTCCTTACATTTTGTTAGCAATCTTGACTCTAAAACCTCTTTGTATAGTCGAGTTGCAATGAGCGCCCCCATAAGTTCTAGTCTTGGTAAAGACATTTTTCTTTTAGCTGGGGTTACCCGATTTTTTGCTAAAACTAATTGGACTTTTACCTGTTCGTTTAATTTTGTTCTTAAAAACAAACATGCAGCAAAAGATGTTAGGCTGGCATCACAAAATATATGAAGACTTGTCTGACATTTTTCTAAAGGTGCGATTGAGATATGTCTAGGGAACAGACATTGATTGATGAAATGTGCTTTACTTAACCAGATTTTGAACTCTTGGGCTAACTCTTCGGGTATTTCATGATCCCAATCTATGTTATGTTCCCAAATTTTCTGCATAATAAGTTTGGGTATTAAAGTTGCTGGGCAAACAAGTCCCAGTGGATCGAATATATGTTGTGCCACAGCAATCACATATCTTTTCGTTATTTTCTCCGATCTTGCTTCACTTATGTTGACATTACATCTTAAATTGTCTAGAATTGTATTCCATGTCATCCCAAGCACAGGAACTTCAACAATGCTATCTATTCTGTGAGGTGCTGTTACCCATCCACGCAGATCAAACATACCTTTTGCCATTATTTCCTTAGATTCCGATATAAATATATTCATTTCATCTACATTATCAAAACTTGCAACACAATTGTCTACATAAAAAGATTTTTTCAATTTGTTAACAGTTTTCCTGTACTTTTCTGAATACTTACTCAAATGATACATTATTGTGGCACTCAACAAAAATGGACTACACGTAATTCCAAAAACCACTCTTTTGTGTCGATATGCAACTAATTCATTACAAGTTTCTATATTTTCCCACCAGAGAAATTTCAAGTAATCTCGATCTTTTTCTGCAATAGATATCTGTAAAAATGCTTGTTTTATATCAGATATAACTCCATAAGCACCTTTTCTAAATTGTATTAATAATTTTGGTAACAATTCAATCATATTAATACCTTTATCTAAACAACCGTTAAGAGTCCATCCATTGTTGTCTTTTGTAGAAGCATCAAATACTGGACGTACACGTGTTGTCATACTAGATAATTTAATAACACTATGATGTGGCAAATAGTGGCCTATATTTGTATCATTTATAACCCTCTCAATGATATCATTTTTCTTCCAGTCTTGAAGAACTTGATCATACATTTTTAGGTTACCAGTTGATTTTAACTTTTTTGTGGTTGATTCCAATCGTTTAAATGCAACTTCATAATTTGTCTTGAGTCCTGCACACCCCTCTTTCCATAACAATGAGACTTCATAACGTCCTTGTGCATTTACTGAAATGTTATCATTGAAAGTTTTCAAAACCTCGACTTCAGTATCCTTTTTAGACTTATTTTCATAAAGGTCTTGAATTCCTAATAACTCAATACTCCACAAATCAGAAAGATTTGTTTTTGAAAAGCATGTGCTTGATGTATTGACTGTACTTTGAACTTTTATTGGTACCTGTAATGTCCATCCTAACTTGGTATTAACAGCCATCAGGTTGTTACCTAAACTAACCGTTTCATTATGTATGATGGATCCTAAGTAATCCGACCCAATCAAGAGACTTATCTCAGTATCTGTATAATCAAAATCACTGATCACAATATTCAAGTCCCGTAACTTCTCTAATATTTTTTCGTTATTAATTTTTGGCAGGTGCCCACATAAATCAGACTGCTGTAGTGCATTGATTCTAACAGAAAACCTATTGTCTAAGCTACTTACCAAAACATCAAAGCATTTATATACTTTGGCAGGCTGATCCACACCCCCAAATAATGTGTGACCTATTATTTCTATGCCAGTCTCATGCAATCCTAATTCTTCAACAACTTTGGCTTTTACATACGACCTTTGAGAACCACTGTCTAACAAAACTCTCTCCTTCTTGATTTTTCTTTGATAGGTGATATTGACAATGAGTGTTTGTAACAAAGTTGTCATATTAGTTCTGGCACATAACGAAACATTTTCCAATGTTCCACTCTTTTCTTTCTTATGAATTTCCGGACATAAAATCACATAGTGTCTTTTTTCACATGATAAACATCTAACAAAACTTTTACATTTATTAGCCATGTGACCTTTTTTAAGACATATGTAGCAGCAGCCTTTCTTTTTTATTGCCTCCTTTTTATCCTCTAGGGACATCTTATTAGCTCTACTACATTCAAAAGAACTATGATTGCTTTTGTCACAAAAACAGCAAATAACATTGACTACTTTACCTGACTCCTTTGGTTTTATATTTGATACTAACGATGCTGCTGTTGGTAAGCTGCTTATTTTTTCCCTGTGGAGAGTGTGATTAGTACCAATACAATTAAAATCTGACCTCGCTAAATTAATTCGCTCTTCTGTTTCTACTTCGTTTTTAAGAAAATTTAATAAACTTGTCAATTGGTTACCAAGAGATGGATCAGTGTTACATCTATTCCAAGCAATAAGAATTGTTTCGGGAATTGCTGATTCTACAAGGGGATACAAAATTATTTCATATTTCTGTTTAACAATACCTAACGTTTCTAAAGACATCAAATATGTTGAAATTTTGTCATATAATAGTCTAATAGATACTTGTTTTTTATTATTGTTTAAAACTAAACTTAATAATTCCCTAACATAAACCTGTATGAGAAGATCCTCCCGTCCAAATCTTGCCTTGAGTTGTTCAATAGCCTTTGTATAATTTTCAGCAGACGGAGGGAAACTTTCCACCAATACTCGAGCGTTACTATCTTCCTTCAATAATTGAAGGAGGTACTGATACTTATCCTCTCCAGACAATGAGTGATCTTCGTCAATTTTCTTAAATTGGCCCCAATAAGCTAACCAGTTCTTCAGGTTATCATCAAATTTCTTTAGCTCATACTTAGGTAAATTGTAATTCCTGGCTGGCTTTACATCTTCAATCTTATCAAGAGGAATTTTTGACGACATAACAGTCTTTATCTGATTGTTAATTGTGTGCCATCTGTATTTATACGTGTCCGCTGTATCAATTTCAATGCTGAAGGATACTTCATCATAACTGTCGCTTTCTAACATGAGGTCTTGTATCATTTTATCTAAAGCTTCTAATCGTTCAACCTTACTCTTAAGAAATTCAATGTCGATCAACACTTGCGAGAAATTTTCGACTTTGATATCAGCTTCTAGCTTCGTCGCTGTTCGGTTGAAAATTCTTCTTAGTTGCTCTCTCTCCCGGTTCTCTTTAATCGCCGCTGCAGTCTCCATTTTTATTTAATATATGTACTCAAATCTTCCAAACTACTTATTTTATTATAATCTTAATCAGACTTCCTTATTTGAGCACAAACTACAGCGGACATTCCGGACTTTTAATAAGTTAAATTCTTTGCCTCACGGTCGCCATATGTGGTAGTTGCAATTAAAGACTTTTCTTTGTTAATTACTTTAATCAATATAACCAAGACAACAAGTTAAAACAGTTATTAATTATAATATTTTTTCTTCATGTCCGTTAAAACATCTTATCGTTACTTTTTCATTTTTTAAACATCATGGATCAAAGTCAGAATAAAAAGTAATAAATATATATATATATATTGTATAACCATAGGCAATAGCTGCCAGTATTTTTCTCTGACTAATAACCTACTTGAATCTACAACACTTTTCGAATACGAAACACAGCAGCGTTAAGCTGCTATTTTACGCTGGTTTTCTGTGAGAGCGTGGTCCTTCCTCGGTCGAGCCGACTCATTCCTGCTATAACTATACTACTAATATAGCTGCAGCATGGCTCTACCACGTACAAAACTGTTATCGGTTTGCAACATGTCATTGATATGCAGAAAAAACAGCGTTGGCGATAGCACGCAGTCTTGTGGAACACCAACATTAATGGGCTTGTAATGGGAGCATGCACTGTCTACTACGACCTTGATGCTCCGGTCTGCAAGAAAATTGGTGATCCAATTGCACAATTTCGCGGGAAGGCCATAAGAAGGAAGCTTCGTAAGAAGCGCTTTGTGCCAAACCCGATCGAAGGCCTTCGCTATGTCCAAACGAACGGCCAACGCCTCCCCCTTGGTCCCTACTACCTCCACCTATTTATTAGTTAGGTAACGATGAAGATCACAAGCCGAGCGACCGTGACGCAAACCGTACTGACGGTCACTAAATAGCTGGTGATCTTCAAGGTACCGCATGAGCTGTGTTAATAATGGACTCCATTATTTTAGAGAACAAGGAGGTGATGGCGAAAGTCCTATAGTAGGATGGATCAGAGCGGTTACCTTTTTTAGGGATCGGGTGCACGAAATCTGTCTTCTATGATTTCGGGATTACGCCTAGGGAGTAGGAGTACCGGAAAAGACTCGTTAAAACCAGTGCCAACTCTGGAGCACACGTCTTCAGCACAATAGGAGGGATGCCATCAGGCCCACTCGATTAGATGACGTGCGGGATGTGCTGTTGGGTAAACAGCGCATCCTGCATGGATCACTTACACCGCGAGATGGTCGGCGATGTGTTACCCCCGTCATCAAGAGTCGAGTTGGCGCAAAGAGAGAGCCCAGCAGATCGGCTTTGTCCTTTGCGGCATGGGCAAGTGAGTCGTCCTCTCTGTGCAGAGATGGGAGAGATGGCTCACAGAAGTTCCCTTGGACAACCTTGGCGAGAGACCAGAATGCACGTGTTCCCGAAGGAACACGAACTAGTTTCTCGTCAATTCTACCGATGTGCTCTGACTTTGCCTTCACAATGACACTTTTGAAGGATCAGGAGGCGGAAAGTTTAGGACTGTCTGCAATATTTTCGGTTTTGAAAAAACCGTGATTTATTGTTTTAATAGTTAATTATGTACATTTCGTATAAATGTAGATACATATACCATTTTACTATAATACTGCAGGCGTATTTATCAGTCCATTGCATCTGTATATTTTACACTATGTACAAACGTTTTACAAAGTTAAGCAGTACAAAGTTAAAATAAGTTTTTTTGTTTTATTTTTTACTAACTACTAAATATTTACATTGTTTACCTATAAGAAGTTCGAGAGATTATTCAATTCTGTGTTTGTTAAGATTAAAATTTAAAAATGCGAGTTAAAGTTTAAATTTCACTAAATGAATACCTATACAGTAACTACAATTTTCAAACGTGGTAGAGCCATGCTGCAGCTATATTAGTATTATAGTTGTAGCACGAATGGGTCGACTCGGCCGGGGAGGGACCACGCTCTCACAGAATTCCAGCGTAAAATGGCAGCTTGGCACTGCTGTGGTATGGTGAGTGTAGAGAACCGGAGACCCATTTTACTGGAAAAGAGACATTCCATCTTAGGCCTCACGGGTGACGACTCATCTGCATTTTGATTCTTTATTGGGGTTAAATGTAGATGTCTATAGGTCACAGCAATCACTTACCATCAGGTGGTCTGTGTGCTCGTTTATCACCTTAACCTATAAAAAAAAACTATACACAAATTTACACTACACATTTATTAAATACTTACAAATATATTAATACATGGTTGCTGATAAATGAGCCACAAATTATTTTCTTAGTCACAAAATTATTATAAACGCTAAATTTTTTATTTTAAAATGTACTTGCGGCACTATATTACAAAATAGGTACTTATACACAAATATACCAAAATAACTTAAATAAACTCTAAAACAAAATCAAATTATTAATTTCAAGGCTTCCAAAACTAAGGAGGTACAATAAATAAATGAGCTCACTCGATTGTTTTACCTATGCGAAACTAAAAATAGAATACTTCAAAAATAACATTTTTCCTCCAAATTTCTTTGCTCTCTAGTTCAAGGCCAAATGTTAACAAGTGATACAATATGCAAGTGCATTGCGATCATTACTATCCTTAGATAAAGGTCAAAAGTTGAAATTTCATAAAACAATTGCGCCAAAATATCAAGAGAATCGAGTCTACTCGGTATTCATTCGTGATACGGTATCGGTTTGACTTCGGATTTCAATACTACTGCGATACAATATCGTCACAAATTGCGATCGGCTGTTGGGTGCAAGCCACTGACTAAGAAGTATATGGACTGGGCATACCTACAGAAATAGCGTGACTACCTAAAAACATCTGGCGCATAAAATGTCCACCTTTTATAGGGTTGTAACTCAGCAATATGGGCAGCTGATATCGACATTTTTACTAATATGAATTTTTTCTTATTTCTTATAATTGAATTTTTCGCTTAATTTATTTTATTTTGTAGGTTTATTTTTATAGGTTAAGGGCTGAATTTTCAATCATCAAATAATTTATCTGAGGAATAAGTAAAGTATCTGGCAGTTTTATGGCTTTTGTGTAAATAGAAATTTAATCCGTAGCCTAATTGCTTAACACACCTAAAATAGCAAACCATACCAATTTGACAGTTTAACAATATCCATTGCGTTGTTTTTGTTGCCGAGCAAACGAAGTTTTCAATCACATGAAGCAATGGATATTGTTGAGTTGTTAAATAAGTTTTGAATTGCTATCCCTTAAGTTTCTGAGCTGCTTCACCAGGCTTCACCGCATATGTACACTTACGCAGTGCATACTCTGCTACAGATTTTTTTGTGTTAGGTACACAGTCAAACAATGAGTTAAGTATACAGGCAGCTAACTTGCAACTTGTTTTAAACAATTTTCTGAGTGTGCTTACTCAAGTTTAAAAGTTATACTTCTTTTGGCGCGTTTGAGAAAATGATGAGAGTGAATTTTTTACAACTTCAGTTGGTAATAATCTGTCAATTGTTAAGTTTTCGTGAGAACTAATAACTATATTCGAGATAGTTATGCAAATAGATATGGATGTATAAAACGTGCTTTATTTTTGTTTTTTTACGCTAAAGAAGTATAACTTCTTACGTGCGTACATAAGTACACACACACGTTTTGTTTTATATCACTTATGAACAAAGTTCAAAAGTTACAACGCACACAATAAAAATGAATATTGACAGAGGAGTGGGAAGATGAATATTTTTTGCTTGCATACCAAATACCTTTGTTTACTGTATAATATTACTGGGATGGAGATCCCTGATCCCATATTATAATCCTATATTATAGTATTTTTAATATAAAATAATAATGATTAGTTGAGTAAAAATTAAATAAACTGTTTTAAAAATCAATACTTAATTATTTGTTGGTATATAGGAACGTTCTGCACATAATTGATCACAAATGGTAAGTTATACAAGAAGGTTCGGTCCTGCTGGATATCATATTTAATTTTTTTTCAGATTTTAAATGAAAGATGTTATTTGAATAAAAGTACTTTTTTACGGATTTTATCGCGTTTAATTAACTTATTTTATATTCCCGACGTTTCAGTTGCTTTCCAGCAACCATGGTCACGGGGGGTTCGTGTAAATATAAGAAATCATTATGAAAGATATTATTTTTCACATAAATTAATTTTGTTAATTTAAAATTCGAAAACCTGGCATGATCATGAAACAATGCATGAAATATGATATCCAGGATTTATAAACGATTATTATTATTCATTGAAATATATACATTTCTGAACAAAATTAATTTATTAAAATAATTTCTATACGACACCATAGATAAGAGTGTACGACACTATGTCACTGCTTTTTGACAGTTTGACAGCAGATACCACAAAACTTGGCGCTTAATATGACGACGCAGTCACGCATGGATGAGCTAATGACGTCACGCGAAAGTATTACCAAAATAAGCACTTTACAAATTGTTGTTGTCTCTCTTTTCTATTGCAGCTACAGCAAAACTGTTTTTGACAAGCGTGTGTGTAACTATATATGTTTTGTATCGTCCACTCCTGTAGTACAGTATAGGATCATACTTCAGGTGCACAACTTACTACGATAAATAGTATTTAAATTCTTCGTTTAAGCCCTGACTTTCCAGTGCAAGCGCATTACTGTGCCAAACACAATATATATATATACAAATTATTTCTTATATTTACGCGAACACTACACATTTAAATAAAACTAATTTTACGGATTTTATCGCGTATATTAACTTATTTTATATTTCCGACGTTGCAAGCACTGGACAGCACCCATGGTCACGGGGGAATATAAAATAAGTTAATATATGCGATAAAATCCGTAAAATTAGTTTTATTTAAATATAAACAAAAATAAGTATTTAAAAGTAAAGCTAATCACAGTATAATATTACGACACAGTTTGTTTATATAAGCAAATAAGTGGCAATCAACAAATACAAAAAGTCATAGACTAATAACCTAATTTTTATTTTATTAAATGGAGGCGAAGGAAACTAAGCATATGGCCATCTCGCGAGTTTTTGAGTAATTAACCCTTTAACCTGCAACACTGTAATATTACGGATACATTCAACTAATTGTAAATAATTTTATGGTTTTTACCAAAACAAAAAAAAATCGAATGGCAATTTACAAGGGACGAACGATTCACTGGATCGATTCAGTACTGCATTTCGATCGAAGATATCGATCTTTTGGGCTTGAAAAATCGATTATTCGTTTAATCGATCTCAGATCGGTCCCTAGAAGAATCTGGAAAATCTAGATAACACAAGAAATAGACACCGATTTTATAATCTGTATCTGTTGTCTGCGCTGCGTCAGTTGTCATTTGTCACATAATTTTTGCGGGTAAAGTTGTTTTCGATTCAGCTATAACTTATATTTGAATTATTTGTGATGAGTTTCTTATATAAAATAACATGAATGACGTGCAAAATATAATCGATCGCCAATTAGGCATTTGTAAGTAAATGTGTTTAGCCTTTACAACTTGTTTATATAGTATTATTGCTTATTATTAAATTTGTTCTAGTTTGCCGCTTCAACTACGACAATATTCTCAAACGTCTGGTTGTAAATAGTGAAGAGTCTTTCTATGGCCTACAGAGCACAGCCTTAGCTGCCAACTTTGAACAGGATCCGCCTATATTTGCGTGTCGGTTTTCGGAAGCCGCTGGTTATGAACACATTCTCGCTCTTGCTAATGAAGACGGGCGAGTTGCTATCCAGGTAATTTAAGATTTTATTGGTCTTGTAGCACGTTTCTCGGTGTCACTTGGGAGCGACAGTCGAAACAATATGTTAAACCCTTGAAAATATAAAGCCGCGTCTCCACCAAAGTTTTGTTGTCAACACAACAGTTGCCAACAAAACTTGTTTCCAGTTTCGGCGGCAACATCAAAGGAATACGCTTGTTGCCAGCATTTGTTCCCTCGGTGGAGACGCTTGTTGGAAATAGTTGTAAACAGTTGGAAACATAACTGTTGTCAACATTTTAGTGGATATGTTACTGTAAAAGCTAGAACTACGGTAAAACCTTAGATTTTCCAGTAATACCTAAGATTTACCAAGTCTTAATGGTAAGAGTCTAAACTGTTCTGTGGTAATCGTTAATTTCGGACTTTTATTAGCATTAACTTAGTAAATCTTAGGTTTTACCTCAAAGACACGTTAAATGTTGAAAAATAGTCATGTCTACAAGTGTTTGGCGCATTATCGTGCTCGCAGACCATGTGCAGTATCGCATCCCCCCTCACACATGTCACTTCACTCTGCTCGACACAGTCAGTGATAGACAAAGTGTAGCATGGCCTCCTATTAGATGGGGTGACGACCTGGTTAGATATGCAGAAAGTCAATGGATGCAGTTAACTCAGGACCGTGCCTTGTGGCATTCCTTGGGGGAGGCCTATGTAAAGCAGTGGACTTGTGAATGATGATGATGAAAAATTAATGAAATGTGGCTAACGAAGGTATGTTTCTGAGAAGAAAACAAATATTTGTTTATTTTACAGTATTCTACTTTGAAAACTCATCATAAAATAATTTAATATTTAGCAGATTAACATGATTCAATGTTTTATAAATACTTTCTAATTTTATTACATATTTTTATTTCAAAAATCAACATTTACTAATAGTCATTAGTAAAATTTAGCATGTAGAAAATGTAAAGGTAAAAGCCCGAAAAATTGTCTCATTTTATAGCAAACCTTACATTTACCAGCTCATGTTGGTAAATCCTGGGATTTAAAAGAAAAACCTAAGATTTACCCAAATATGGGCTTTTAGAGTAATAGATACACGGCTTAACCTTGACATCTGGAAGGAACATGTTTACATGTCAATGAAGTCCACAACCCTTTGAATTATAATAATATTTTCTGATGATTAATATTAAAAAAATTGCTTATAATAATAATAATAATAAAGCTTTATTTCTCTACACATTTACAGAGTTGACAAAAAAATTATAAATACATAGAGCTACATATTAGAAAGTATTTGTTGGTTTATATAGTCCCTCTTGGGTAAAAGTCTCATTCAACTTGGACCATTCTTCACGGTTTTTGGCAATTTACATCCATTCTTCTCTTGCTGTGTTAATAATGTTATCCACCCATCTTTTCCTTTGTCGACCTACATTCCTTTTGCCAAATAGGCCCTTCCATTTTGTTGTTTGGTAGGTCCATCTTTTGTCCTGATATCTAGCTATGTGTCCTGCTCATTTCCATTTTTGTATTTGGCTATGCTGAAATTATTCTCCTTAATTTAAGGATGCTTCTCTACATAGAATGTTGGCAAGACAAAATTTTATTTTTCACTCTTTCAGTATACATTCATGTTTGGCTTGCATATGTTAGACTTGGGAAGATACACAAGTCCATTATGACCTTTTTAATTTTTAGGCTGTAATTTCCTTTAAGAATTTCTTTTTGAGCCCAATATTTTTTCCACGCTATGTTTATTCTTCTGTCTATTTCTTTTTCATTGCTGTTTGATTCGAAAGATATCAGTTTGCCTAAATATACATAGTCATCAACATATTCAATGGACTTTCCTTCTATTTTGATTGGTTTTTTGGAGCTGCTTGTAATATATTTTTGTTATTGATGCATTCATTTCAAGTCCTACTTCTTGGCTTTGAGTGTTCAGGCTCTGAAGCATGATTTCTAATTCAGTTGCAGATTCACTGAAGAGAGCTATGTCATCAGCAAATTGTAGATGTGTTAATCTTTTATTTAGTATCCATATACCTTTGTTTTTCCATTCTAGGTTTTGAAATATGACTTCAAGGACGGCTATAAATAATTTGGGGGAAAGAGGGTCACCTTGCCTCACTCCTTTCCCAATTTCGATATCTTCTCCATGTCTTTCTAGTTTTATTTTGCTTGTTCTCTTAGCATATATGTTCTTTAGCACACTTATGTATTTTCCATTTTTTTTTTCTCAAAGCCTTCCATATAGATGAATGTGATATGTTGTCAAACGCCTTAGCATAATCTACAAATGCTATGTATAATGGCATGTTGTATTCTTTATATTTTTCTATTATTTGTTCCATAGTGTATAGTGTGGTCGGAAGTCTGCTTGCTCTATTGATTGGTTTCTGTCTATGCCTGGGGCTATTCTACTTAGGATTATGGAAGAGAACAGTTTATAGATTGAAAATAGTAGACTAATTGGTCTATAATTGTTGATGTCAAATGGATTTCCTTTTTTATAGAGCAGTATTATTTTTGAGCTGCACCATTGTTTTGGTATTTGTTCTTGTTGTATGATTAAGTTGCATAGTTTCGTCAGGTAGTTTACTATAATAGGTGACCCAAGTTTTAGAGTTTCATTTTTGATTATAGCTGGTCCTGGGCTTTTTTCAGACTTCAGTCTTTTTATATGTTTACCTATCTCCCCTTCAGTTATAGGTGTTAAAGTTAGTTCTTCTAGTTGGGATTCTCTTGTGTGTTTAATTTCCAATTGTTCATCCTTTTGGGTTCCATCTTGGGATGTCCTTCTATAATGCTCTGAGTAGAAAGCTGTTGGGCGCTATTCAATGTCTTCTCTATTTTTTGTTTCCTCTTTAAATATAACACAAATTATTTACCTATATATGTAAATCTATTGGTAGCCTTATTTTATAGTACACAATATGCAATCTCTTAATTCAAATTGTAATTCAAACTTAACGTAATTGATCTATAGAATCATAAAATATTTTTCGTCTATTTTTTTCAATGTGCAAGGCCAACAGCCATTTCGTTCATACCACGACTGAGTCAACGTAAACCAGTTTGTACTCAGACAGAGCATCATTGAACCTGTTAGTGATAGCTCACATCACTACGCTATGTATGGGTTTATCAGCAGCAAGCTGTTTGTATGTAGCTTCCCCTCTGGTCGGTGTGGCATGTGGCAGCGCTGTCTCATACATACAAGACCTAGTTTAGTTTACGATGGGCTGTTTTCCGCAACTCCACGTCTAAGCGCGTATTTTGCGTATGGGCAGGAATAATGTAATTATACGAGCCATGAGATCTCTCCGAAGAAGTACAACAGTCCTTTGATGTTGCATGCAACTTCGGGGAGTGATCCAGGCGTGCTGAGATGTTTAGCCCTGTACGTAGCGACCTCCGTACATTTCAGCAACACGTGGGCCGCCATTTCTTCCTCCCCCATACATGCCCTGTACAGGGGACTATCTGTAACACCTATGGTAAATAAATGTTTGTTAAAGGTGCTGTGTCCTGTGATAGCACTTGTTTGTCTACAGTCTACTAGATTTTTCCAAAGCATAGTAGCGTATCATGTTGATTAGTGAAGTGAAAGGTTACCAAAGGGGATTTTTATGATTGGTTCCGGCCCTATAGTGGCCAGAGCCGATCCTCTTCTGGCCAGTTTGTCTGCTGCATCTTTGCCTCTGGATCCACTGTGTCCCTTTATCCATTGCAGAGTCACATTGTTGTTTTTACATACCTCATTTAATTGTTGATGGCATTCATATATTAGTCCCAAGTTCACCATATTGCAAATCAGAGCTTGTAGTACCTTGTAGTACTTTCGGTCAGTATTTTGATGGAGAAGTCATTAACCTTCCTAGCATCTATTGCTATGGCCACGTGAATGATACCCTTACATTCCGCCAGAAAAACTGTGTTATATGTACCCAGCGGTGTGCATATGCGAATATTGAGGTCTTCAGAGAAAGTTCCAGATCGGTGAAAACTCTTGGGATTAAAACCTTCCGGCTGGCTGGTTTCATTTAATTGTATCTTGTACTTCTTATTAAATACAAATTGTTTAGGAATCTTATTGTACTTAGCTTGTAAGATAGGAATTTTTGAGTGAGTTCTATCAATTATGCCTGTATGAGGGACACTATTTTTACTCCAAAGATTTAAGGTTTTGAGTCTGATGGCAGCTAAAGTCGCTTCTTGTTGTATATGTAGATGAAGCGGGGTTAGCTCCAGCATCGCTTCTAAGGCTGCTGCTGGCGTTGTCCTTATGCAGCCTGTAGCAGCCGTACATGCCAGTCTCTGGTAGCGCTGAAGCTTCTTTATAGTAGTGGCTTCATTTGTCTTGGTCCACCATACCAAAGAGCCGTATGTGATCATGGGCCGAATTACAGTTTTGTACAGCCACAGTATGATTTTCGCGTCAGACCCCATCTTTTGCCAATCATGTTTCTGCATTGCCAGAAAGTTATACTAACTTTGTTGATTTTGTTTTCTATGTTTTTATTTCAGTTAACCTCTGAGGATAGCTAGAGTTTTCTGCTGAAAAGACTTGGTAAATGATAGTTTTTCAGCATTTGTTTCTATGTGAACATTACTAGAACCGTTTTATTTGAATTGACGTTTAAGTCATATTCCCTGCACCATCTCTCCACTATACGGAGAGCTGCTTGGGTCAGACCGCACACCATGCTTGTTGTCTTTCTAGAGACCAGTATTGTCAGCTCATCAGCATATCTACTGTGTAGAAGTGATTTGCATTTAAACCCTGCTGGCAGTCTTAATCTGGATTGTGTGAGATTCACCAGCAATCTTTATTTTCGTGTACTGAGCATGTTTACTGAGTGCACCTTTTATGCTGGAGAAGTTCGTTCTGTCAGTAGCACCTATATCTATGAAAGAACCTAGACATATTTCTTTGTTTTGGATGGCCTCTTCAATCTTTGTTATTACCTGGTGAAGTGCCGATTCTGTCGATTTCACATTACAGGCAATCTCCGAATGGGGCGATATCAATCTAGTGAGATTCAACACCTCCAAAACACAAGCGTGTGGTTTCACCGCTAAAAGGAACCCGCTCGCCCTGGCTCCTACTTTCCGGAATGTATCCTTGGAGTACACTGACCGCCTTCAGTTGTTAGGGGTTGAATTTTCTCCGAACCTCGACTATGGACGGTTCATTGAGTCCAGAGCCAAGGCAGTCGCAAGGAAATTTGGTGTCCTTGCAAGGGTGCGGCGATACTTCACGCCAGGGCAGCTTCTTACGTTATATAAAGTGCAAGTCTGGTTGTACATGGAGTACAGTCACATATGGGCTGGTACTGCAAAATGTCACCTGGCAGCGTTAGACTGAGTGGAGAGCCGTGCTAAGAGGCTCTTTGGTGACCTTGATTTGGTTAAAACCAACCTTGTCAGCCTCTAGCACTGGCGCATAGTAGTCAGCCTTGGTATTCTGTACGCAGGAATTACACGCTTTAATTCCTCCCTCTCCTTTCCACCATAGGACAACCATGCGGTCGGCGAAACCAAACGGTTTGCTTTGACTTTTGTAATGCGTACAGCAAAGGAGTGGAATAATTTATTTCGTCTATCTTTCCGTCCAAATACAATCTGAGCGTCTTTAAGGCAAGAGTGAATAGGCTTTTGTTACGCTAAAACATTGCGATTTAGCATCTACGGCTGCATCATCACTTACCACCAGGTGGGATTGTGGTCAAGCACAGGCTTATAATAAGTTAAAAAAAAATAGATTAAAAACGTTACAGTTGTGAAGTGAAATGCCTTTGATGTCAGGCGATGCCGCCGCCCGCGTAGGTATTTACACGGCCGTTATTTATGCTAGGGGTTGTCATGAAAATGGAAGTAAAATAATTTTGGATATGATAATACTCACTATCATTTATTAAAATTATGTACATACTTTAAAGTTAAAAACATTTATTGAACAAGATGGTTTTTATTACTACAAGAAAAAACATTTACAACTGTTGCACTGCCAAATATTTACTTTGTTGTATTTATTTTTGTTTGCAAAAAAGTTTGTGAAGCCGATTAATCGACTAATGCCACAACCTTCGGCTGAAGCCGAAGCCAAAGCTTAAAAACCCTAAAAATTCAGTTAAAGATTGGCTAAAATTAATAATATACTATACTATATTAGGCTTGGCCGGCCGGCGCAAGTCCAGGTACGACTTTCCATTGACGTCCGTCGAGTTTGGTGTTGGTACGTATTCTTACAGAAAGATTACATTTTTATAAGCACACACACAAAGTTTCAATATGCGGAAACATGTACTTTTTGAGAGAAAAATATTGAAAATCAAATATTTTTGCAATATTTATGTGAATTCCTACCTACTATGAAACTGACGCCATTTTTTATTATTATTGTCAGTAGGGATGTCGATTCTTTCCGAAAAAGATTGAGTTTTTAAATAGATTCGAATTGTAAGCTGATGTATCAATCCCAAAAAATCGATTTCTAAAATATCTATATTTTTTTCATGTTTGCATTTATAATGTAAATATAAATCCATTTTATGAGAAAAAAATTCCCTTCGTCATAAAAAATAAGGAGACTGATTCAGAAGGATTTCTGTATCTATTTTGAGACTGCTACGTCTCCGGCGCTGCGGGAAGAGCAGCCTCTACGCCTTAGCGTAACAAATCGTAGGCATCGGACGAGCCGGAGCGGCTGAGGCTGGTCGCCGAAGGCGACCAACAAGCCGAAGCTGCGGAGGCGAGGAGTTACAGCAGGCGGAGGCTGCTCCCCCTACGCGCCTCCGGCTTTATAAAACCACTCTAGGGGTAGGACAGACTCGTTCCAGGTGGAGTCGGGGTCAATCAATTCTGTTCTTTGACATAAGTTGAACCCAACCTATTTTATTTGTTATCTGCCCTAATAGGTACTGTTAAATAAAACAAATTTCAATAAGAGATCATTTATCATGGTATCTTTCTTGTTTTTCATAAAATGTGTTTATATTTACATTATAAATAGAAACATTAAAAAAATATAGATATTTTAGAAATCGATTTTTTGTGAACCGATACATCAGCTTACGATGTGAATCGATTTAAAAATCGACATTTTTCGGAAAGAATCGACATCCCTATTGACGTCGACCATGACATTACAAAATGGCGCCAGTTTTACGGTAGGATTAGACATAAACATTGCAAGAATAATTGATTTTCAATAATTCTTTTCTCAAAAATTACGCGTTTCCGCATGTTGAAACTTTGTGTGTGTGCTTATAATAGTGTAGCTTTTCTGTAAAAATGCGTATCAACACCCAACTCGACGGACGTCAATGGAAAGCTAAGCCCAAGTCCACAACACAGTGTGACATTCCGCGCGTCACCATGTCCATCGCGCTCTCGTTCATTCGTAACCGTTCTTTTAATTTCGATGCTTGCTAGAAAACTACAGCCCATTTTATCTGAAGCCGAAGGTGGTTTTATTGACCGAAGGTGAAGGCGAAGCTTCAGTCGGACCCTAGTCATAACTACAACATCCGCAAAAAATATTTCAGTAGATTTGTGTCTTATTGACAGGATACATCCAACATGAAAGCGGCAGGTGCACTGGAAGGGTTTCAGTGTCACAACAACGCAGTGTTTGATCTCGCCTGGATGCCCTCGCATATGAACTTCGTCACAGTGTCAGGTATGGAACGAACAGTAACTTTTATATGTGGACGGGGGTAAGACCACATTGTCACACAATACCAGCGTAATATAGCGGCTTAAGAGCACTACAAGAGCTAAGTGACCTCGATTGAGGCACGCACACATTTACATAATTTCTGTATGGCATCAGGCCTCAGCCGGCTTTGTCGGTACACTGGCTTACGCACTAATGCGTACGTATTATGTAAGAAATAAAAATACGCGATTCAAAGAAAAATCTATTGATTGGACTAAAAAAATTGAAACACACACACACACAAACACTCACGCCTGTCACCCAGAGGGGTAGGCAGAGACTACGGACTTCCATTTGGCGCGATCCTGACACACCTCGCTCGCCTCCTTTACATCCATATATCTACGCATACACGCTCGTCGGTTAATGGTACTCCTAATCTGGCCCATTTTTAATGTATCGCCGATTTGGTCGATAAACCTTCGTCTAGGGCGTCCCTTCCCGGCCCTGCCGTTCACTTCTGCAACATAAATTTGCTTTGTCACTCTTTCCTCGTTCGTTCTTTCTACATGACCAAACCACCGAAGCATTCCTGTTTTAATCCTTGTCACAACGTCATCTTGCACACCACACTTTTCTCTTATCACACTATTTCTCACCCTGTCATTCAGATTCAGCCCTAGCATACTCCTTAAGGACCGCATTTCTACAGCATTTATCTAGTCTCATGCTTCTTTTGCCAGACCCAACTTTCACTACCATACATTAAAGTAGGGACTAACACAGCATTATGAATTGACACATTCTGACTCCTCATAATATCGTGTAGTTTAGTTCATTCGTCGTTCTATATCCTTATCATATCTACCATCCCTGCTAAATAAACATCCCAAATATACAAACTCATCCACTTGCTCAATCAACTCCCCTTCTAATCTTATTTCACATAACGTTTTACTTTCTTCTCTTTCAAAAATCATCATTTTCGTCTTACTTGCGTTCACTTTCATACCCCTTTCTTTTAATGACCATTACATTAAAGTAACCATCATTTGCAACTCGGCCGCCGACGATGCAAATATGACTTGATTATCGGCGTACAAAAGGCATTTGACGGTTAACTCACCCATTCTCAACCCACATTCTCAACCCACATTCTTCAACTTTCAAAGTTTGTAAACAATTGTCTATAAATAGGTTAAACAGCCACGGGGAAGCCACACATCCCTGTCTGGTACTTTTATGAATGCCAAACCAGTCCGAGTATACCCCGTTGATCCTGACACAAGCACTAGAGTCCCTATAAAGAGACGTTAATGCCTGTATCAAGCCAGCGCTCAATCCAAATGAGTTCAGTGTTTGCCATAACACATTCCTGTCCACTCTGTCATAAGCCTTTTCCAAGTCCATGAACGCACAAAAACTCGTTTTTGGCCAAAAACTTCTCCGCAATCATGCGCATGGAAAAGACTTGATCCGTACACCCCATCCCCTTTCTAAATCCAGCTTGCACATCCAAAATTTTTCCATCAGTTTCTTCCATAACTCTTTCAATTAACACCTTAGCATACAGTTTACCCATAATGCTAAGCAAGCTGATACCACGGTAGTTTTTACAGTCCTTCTGTGAACCATTTTCCTTATATATTGGGACTATAACGGCTTTGCACCAGTCTTCCGGTACCTGCTTCAGTTCCCAACATAAATTAAACAAGGTGTACAGCAGGCCTGCAACCACACCCTCTCCAGCCCTTAGCATTTCGAGTGATATTCTATCATATCCGGCTGCCTTACCTGCTTTCATGCTTTTCATTGCTTTCATTATTTCATCTACACTTATTTCGCTACCTCTCCACTTTTCCCGGAATTTCTATTTCACTTACTTCAAACGACTCTTCACTCTTAAACACGCTTTCAAAGTATTCCTTCCATCTCTTTAAATTCGAAACTTCACGATTTAACATGCAGCCATTCTCGTCTCGTATAGCATTCATTCTAGGCTGTTTTGAATTTCCCCTGGCAGTTCTTACGAGCTTCCAGAACATTTTAATATTTTCCTGGAAGTTATCAGATATCCTTCTATCATTTTTATCTATCCTTTCTTGCTTTTTCCTTTCAACAACTTCTTTTACTCTCTTATTTATACGTCTAAAGTCTGCCTTTTTTCTTTCAATCTCATCATTCATACCGCCAGAATTACCAGCTTTGGTTGCTAGTAAATCTAGCCATGCTCTCTTCTTTGCTTCAACTTCCATCCGTACCTCATCATCCCACCACAACGTATTACTTTTCCTTTCATTCATTCTCTTACTTACACCACATACTTCGGTGGCTACATCCACCAAAACTTTCTTAATATTATTCCATACATTCTTCAAGTCTAAACCATTCATACATAATTCATTCAACCCACTTATATTTTCCCTCAATTTGCATTTATACCTCTCTTTCACGCCTTCATCTTGTAACCTCTGTATTCTTCTACGCTGTAAAATAAAAACACTATTATTTTAATATGTTGCTTGTACAATAATCTGATAAAATCAGGATGATTGCATGTATATTAGTATGGTATTTAATTATTGTTGTTGATTTTTTTGTGATTTTGTACTATCGTATCAAATTAGTAGTATCGTGTTTTCAACACACTATCTAACTAGCATATATGTCCTGAAAAACGTTATATATTTCTATTCTAATTTTGTTTACTGCAGTGGATCATACACTTTCAGGCATTATAAAAATTGTGTTTAGTCCTGTAGTACCCTTAATTCTGCTTTGTTTCGTATGGTTAGTGTAGAGAGCTGGAGCCCCTTTATACTGGAAACGAGACATTCCATCTTAGACCTCAGGGGTGACAATCTGCGTTATGATTTTTAATTGAGAATAAATGTAGATGTCTGTGGGCTACGGCATCTACTTACCACCAAGTGGATTGTGTGTTCGTTTGTTACCCTTATTCTATAAAAAATATAATTCTTTAAATAAAAAAAAATACTTTCAATGTTAAATTACTAGGATCAGGTGTAGGACTCTTTCTGTCTACAAGTCTGTCTAACCTATAATTGTTGCTAAATAGCAAAACCTGCATTGCTGTGTGCCTGCCTGAAGAGTACAGAGAGCCAGTATAAATACATCTGTGCAGCAATCCATAACAGTTTTCAGAGGTGACAACGCATCTGTAGCATTCTTTGTTTGAAGGTTTTTGTTTCTGTCCAGGGGTTGCTGTAGCCAATTACCATCAGATGGACTGTAACTTCGTGTGTCACTTAAGTTTTATAAAAAAAACTGCATTTTTGGTCAAGTAGTCGTAAACGATACTGATGACCTTGAGGTCCCGGGTCCAAATCCCTGGTCGGATCAAAAATCAGCTATTGGGTTTTCCTGTCGAGAAATTCGCAGTAGCGGCTGGAGTTATTAAATTGGCGCTGTTGAAATTTTTTCTAGATGACATTATTTTTGTTATTATTTATAAAAAACTATAATTGTTTATATGTTGTTAAAAGTTTAATTTTCAAGTATATACCTTATTCAAAATTATTTTTGTAGGAGATCACACTGCCTGCCTCTGGGACGTCGCGGAGGGGGCGCCAAAAAGGATATTAGTCTTTTCAAATCACACCAGATCAGTCAAAACTGCAGTGTTCCCGCCGACAAATCCTTCTGTTTTCGCGACTGGTGCTAGGGATGGTCACATTTTACTTTGGGACATTCGCGCTAGCAATCAACCTGCGGTCGTGTTGAAACCAGATAACTGTCTTATGAATTGTCACTCCAGTTTCACTCCCAAGACCCCGAGCTCCCATGGCAAAAGACCACGTTTAGATAACCATAGGGCAATAAGCATCACCGGTCTCGTCTTCCAGGACGACCTGACGCTCATATCCTGTGGGGAATGTGATGGTAACATCAAAGTTTGGGACCTGCGTAAGAACTACAACATCTACAAAAGAGAACCTCTACCGAAGCATTCCATTCCCTACTGTGGGAGCTCCGCTAAGAACGGTTATACGAACTTAATAATTGATGATGCAAAAGTCAGGCTTTATGCGAGCTGCATGGATAATGTGATCTACTGTTTCAATATATCCACGTACAGTGCAGTCCCGGAACAGAGGTATATCGGTCATGAGAATAGCACATTCTACATCAAAACCAGCCTCAGTCCCGACAGCATGTATCTAGTGAGCGGAAGTAGTGATAAGAACGCATATATCTGGAATGTCAAGTACTCTGAACCGATCGTGAAACTAGCAGGACACTGGGCAGAAGTAACTTGCGCTGCTTGGTGTCAGAAAGGGGACACGAAGATAGTCACATGCAGTGACGACGCAAGGCATAAGATATGGAGGATCGGCAGGGAGTTTGCGGAAAAGGATATGGAATTGAAAGGTCAAGCTGAGGTAGTTCCACGTACTGACATCACCAGTTTGCCCAAATGGGGTGCTTTGGATAAAACACCCAACTCACTCAAACGGAAATTGTTCACCACGCCAGGTTCTTACAGTGCAAAGAGGCTCAAACCGCAAGAAAATAGTTCTATAAGAAGGACAAAGAGATGTCTAACGGATTTGATGAACTCTTCAAAGCCAATAGAGGCTGATGAAGCAGAATTATTAGTTAAAAGACTGAAACTAGATGTTCCTTCAATTCCAGAAAATGAGGAGCCCAAATTGCTACCGGCTGGATTGAAACGCCACAGAGACAGTGCAGAGAAAACTCCTCCTAGCAAAAAGATGTGCCTATTCGAATCCGACCCATCCAGTTCTATAACAGCCGATTGGGGCTACATACCGCCCAAAGCGAGCACCTCCTTCATGACACCCACAAAGAATTATGAGAAGAAACACTGCAAACTGCTGTCCCCAAAAAGTCCTAAAACTATATCGCCTGCCTCATTGCCATTTCAGTCACCAATAAAAACTCCTCCGAGTAAAGTGAAAATAATTTCCTTCTCAACGCCGACGAAAAATTTGCCAAACTTTGTCCTTGATGGGGAAGCGCCTCACTTGAGACTGATGTCGCCCATGAAGAAGAAACAGGACACAACTAATTGGTTAACGCTCATAGTTAGAGAAAAGAAAGGGAAGGAAGTAAGTGACAAGGCGAGTCCAAACGTACCGCTCAGTCCCAAGGAAAATATACCCACGCGTAGAAATTCGAACGCCGAAAAAACACCTAAATCCAGCGGCAGAACGAAAACACTACTTAAATATTTCAATGTTGCCACTAAAGACAAGAAAGTGTAGGTTACCACAGTTTAAAGACAGTACTTTAAACTGTGGTAAAATTAATGTAACTACTAGGAGCGCAGGATAAGAATAGGACTTTGTTTACTGCCAACTTCATTGTCCAAACGTCAACTTTCATGACATCGGCATTTTAAAATTTTTTTAAAAGACAAGGGACAGCCATTTTAAAATTATACTTATTTATTTTTAGGACTTTAGGATAAATAACAATTTAAATGAAAATAAATATCTTTTAAATGTATCTTTAATTTATTTCTTACACATCCTACATTATTTTGAAATTCGAAGTGAAATGCCACTTAGAAAATCCTACCTTTATCGTGCGCGCATAGCAAATACGTACTGAGTTGATAAAGATCTAAAATTGATAAAAATCCTAGAATAAATTGTGATCATATTATAGCCAGAAATGCATTTTTTGGTACTATGTGTGTGTATAATATTTTTGTTTGTTTTTAAAATAATAATTATTGGTCTGATATTTTTACATTCATTTCATTGTAGTTTTTAAGATTTAACATTATGTGTTCGGTATGAATATCGAATTTCAAATATAGTGTTATGAAAATCACAACTTGGGATACTTTGGAAAATATTTCACAATCATGTAACTGCTGACGTCAGTGTCAAGAACATAGAAATGACTTCTGCCTTTTTTACCACTTTATTTATATTGCCAAATAATTAAGTAATTTTAATAGCTATTACTGTTTTACTCTGATGATGATCGACCAATTTTTTTTTGAAAAGTGTTCGAAATGTCGTGCAGAAAAGCATATTTATACCTACATCTAGGGTTACCATATCTCAGGATTTGGCCTGAGATTTCAGGATTTTAGACTTCTCAGGATTGCGGCTGGATTTTGCAAATCTCATGAATTCTCAGGATTTTTAGTACTTTCCATATAATACAGCTTACATTTTAAAGATCTCTTTAATAAAAAGTTAAACAAACTAAAAATAATTTTTCTTTGGTAATAATTCCTCAATTAAAATCAAAACTTATTTATCCAAGTAGGTACTTAAACAGTTTTATCATACTTAATATGTGAAGATACCTTTTTAAGTAAGGTTTTCTTCTCAAACTGTAAAAAAATCTCATGATTTTTAAGTGGAAACCAGGCCTCTTTTCCAGACTTTTAATTTTTTCATCTGGTAACCCTACCTACACCGTCAGTGTTCCTTGTTCGGAACATTTGTATTTACAAACACACCATTTTATACATCACAATTGCTCATAATATGTAATTTTCTTTAGTGTTCCAAGTATGAAGTTATTTGATAGTTATTGATAAGCTACTGCCATACTTTTAAGTGCTTAGTTTTAAGTATTTGAACAAATTATTTAATTATTGTAAGTATGATTTGATTATATTCAAGATTTGCAGCATTATTGATGATTATCCATATTTAGTATACTAAAAATAAAAAAAAGTTAATTTGTTTTTTGTAAAAGTATTTCAAATTTCATAAACATTGAGCAACGCAATAAATTATGAGCAAGTTCAAACTTGTTTCTTTTTATCTATTTTTTTTTGTATACCTACTTAAAATAAATCCATTTATTTTAGTGATTACCAAGTATTTCATTATTTATCGTGTAGTGGCGGTGTAAGAATATCCGCTACCCCATATCGTCCCGTGTGTGTCGTAAGAGGCGATAGAGGGAAACAAACTAGGATATGGGCAGCAGCGTCTTCTTAATATATAAAAAAACGGGTTACCAACTTGCCTGCCAAGCGAGGCAACTACAGCGAATATCCCCCCATTGAAGCAATATATGGGAGAGGCCTATGTTCAGCTGTGGTCTTTTGATGCGTTGTAACAGTGCTAATGTTTTACGTTGGATCATGAAAGACACACCTTGGGGGAAGGCGAATTAAATGTCGACAGAGCCTGACGCTAGCACCTCATAAGCGCCCCTATGGCGGATATATATTATTATAACTACATACTTATTTTGCAAATAAACTATTTTATAATATAGTTAAGTTTCGAAATAATACGGACACGTAACAGGTGGGCGTGTAGTAAAAACATGATATAAGAAAAAGTATTTTTTATTTTATGTAATTAGGTATGTACATATTATATTTTTTTCGTTTTAAAACTTCCGCCCGCGCCCTTTTGTAACATTGCGCTCCTAGGCAATTACCTAGTTTGCCTTAAGGATAATCCGCCACTGACTTTGGTGGAGGCCTATGTTCAGCAATGGACTCGTGAAGGGCTGTAATGATGATGATGATGGAACATATTATGCAGTCGGCTTATCTTTGACCTGTTTACAACTAATGTGTCATCGGCTGCTATGCCAACGTGATATGTGGTTTTAGGTCTAAAATTGCTGTTTTTACTGCGATAATAAGCTAGTGCTTCACTACTATCTTACTCGATTGTGGTGATGTAGCCGAAAATAGTGAAACGCACTGGTTAAGCTTACATTGCAATCGATTGAAAAGACAGATGCTGGCAAATTATGCCACACAATTGCTTTACGAAAAGTGGTATGAAATTGTCAGCATCACGAGATGGAGATATACCTTTACGCGGTAGAGCCATGTTGCAGCTATATTATGCCTGTAGGGCTGTAGCACAAATGAGTCAGCTCAACCAGGGAAGGATCACGCTCTCATAGAATGCCAGCTTAAAATAGCAGCTCAATGCTGCTGTTTCGTATGGTGAGCGTAGAGAACTGGAGACCCTTTTTACTGGAAACGAGAACGATGGAACGATCTCAGTACCTACTCAGTGGCGACAACACATCTGCATTTTGATTCTTAATTGAGGATAAATGTAGATGTGTAATGGCCACAGCATGATGTAGTGTGTTCGTTTGTTACTCTTATTCAATAAAAACTTAGTTTCGTCGTTTTTGTTTTTTCTCCAATTTAATAGAGTAAGTTTAATGTAAGACGTACGTCATCACAAGAAAACCTGACATTAAACATTAAAATAGGTAGATTTAAATGATAAGAAAATAAATATGAACTGATAAGGTATTTTTCGTATCGTATGTAGAAAAAATGCAAACTTCAATGCAAAACTAGGCACAAGAAAGAACGGTGAGCTGAAAGTGGGGAAATTTGGAATAGGGCAACGGAACCCAAGGGGCCAGCAGTTGGCCGACTTCATGGAGAAAGAGGGACTCTTTATGATGAACTCTTTCTTCCAGAAGCGGCCCCACAGGAAGTGGACCTGGTCGAGCCCCGACGGTTCGACAAAAAATGAGATTGACTTCATTATGACGACCAGACGACAACTGTTCAGTGATGTCTCAGTGATCGCGAGGGTGAAAACCGGCAGCGATCACCGAATGGTTAGAGGCACACTGAACCTAAACGTTAAGTTGGAGAGGTCTCGTCTAATGAAGTCAACGCTCCGTCCCCCTCGTGCTCTAATCCAAAGTCCCGAAACCTTTCAGCTCGAGTTGCAAAACCGTTTTCAGTGCCTAGAAGACTGCAATGAAGTGGACGATTTGAATGACAAGCTCGTGGAAACTGTCCATGCGGTCGGAGCTAAGTTCTGCAAGACCCGCCGCAGAAGAACACAAAAACTCTCCGATCACACTCTTAATCTCATGGCTGTTAGACGGGAGATGAAGCTACATTCTTCAACAGATTTGACAGCATACAGGCAACTGAACAGACAGATCTCCAAATGCATGCGGCGGGACTTACGCAACTTCAATACAGCTCGTATTGAAGAAGCGATCGAGCGGAACCAAGGCTCCAAAGTCTTTGCCAGAGATCTGTCTGCCAGAAAGAGCCAACTGTCAAAGCTGAAGACCGAATGTGGCAGCATCGTTTCCGGGGCACCTGAGATTTTGAGTGAGATTGAGAGGTTCTATGGGCAGCTGTACACGTCATCGTTGGAGCCACACGCAAGTGTGAGTAACGATCCAAGAGCGAGTCTTATCCGACATTATTCCGATGATATCCCGGACGTCAATCTGAGCGAGATTAGAATGGCTCTCCAGCACCTTAAAAACGGCAAGGCCCCAGGCCAGGATGGAATTACAGCGGAGCTTCTGAAAGCGGGTGGAAAACCGGTACTTGAAGTCCTTCAGAAGCTCTTTAATTCTGTCCTCCATGGTGGCATTACACCGGAGGCGTGGAGCAGAAGTGCGGTGGTCTTATTCTTCAAGAAAGGCGACAACGCTCTCTTGAAGAACTACAGACCGATTTCCCTTCTGAGCCGCGTCTACGTGCTGTTTTCGAGAGTCATTACGAATCGTCTCGCGCGCAGACTTGACGACTTCCAGCCTCCCGAACAAGCCGGTTTCCGAAAAGGCTTTAGCACCATAGACCACATACATACCCTTCGGCAAATTGTACAGAAGTCCGAGGAGTACAATTTGCCACTATGTCTGGCGTATGTGGACTATGAGAAAGCCTTTGATTCCGTCGAAATTTGGGCGGTGCTGCAGTCCCTTCAGCGATGCCAAGTTGACTGTCGGTATATCGAAGTGTTGAAGTGCTTGTACAGTAGGGCTACGATGGCTATCCGAGTACAGAACCAGAGTACGAAACCTATCCAATTGCAGAGAGGTGTAAGACAGGGTGACGTCATATCCCCGAAACTCTTCACCGCTGCATTGGAAGATGTTTTCAAGCTTCTGGACTGGAAAGGATACGGTATCAACATCAATGGCGAGTACATCACTCACCTTCGATTTGCCGACGATATAGTCCTTATGGCAGAATCGCTGGAGGACCTAAGCACTATGCTCAATGACCTCAATAGTGTTTCCCAACGGATAGGTCTTAAGATGAACATGGACAAAACAAAGATCATGTTTAATGTCCATGTCACACCTATGCCGGTAGTTGTTGGGAACACTAAGCTCGAAGTTGTTGACGAGTATGTTTACCTGGGACAAATAGTCCGACTAGGTAAGTCCAACTTCGACCGAGAGGTCAATCGACGGATTCAACTCGGTTGGGCAGCGTTCGGGAAATTACGGCACATCTTCTCGTCAGGTATACCTCAAAACTTGAAAACGAGACTGTACACCCAGTGCGTGTTGCCAGTGATGACATACGGAACTGAGACGTGGTCCTTCACTGCTGGCCGGATGAGGAAGCTCAAGGTCGCTCAGCGAGCTATGGAGAGGGCTATGCTCGGAGTTTCTCTGCGTGATAAACTCAGAAATGAGGATATCCGCAGTAGAACCAGAGTGACCGACATAGCCCAACGGATTAGTAAGCTGAAGTGGCAATGGGCCGGCCATATAGCTCGAAGAACCGACAACCGATGGGGAAGAAAGGTTCTCGAGTGGCAGCCTCGTACCGGCAGGCGAAGAGTAGGGCGTCCCCCCACTAGATGGAGTGACGACCTGGTAAGATTTGCAGGAAGTCGATGGATGCAGGTGGCTCGGGACCGTGCTTTGTGGCATTCTTTGGGGGAGGCCTATGTTCAGCAGTGGACTTGTGAAGGGCTGTAATGATGTAGAAAAAATGTACAGATGATTAGAATAAAAATAGAGTTGTTTGTAAAGAAACGAACTAAAAATCTTGATAACACACCTAATCTAAAAATAAACCGATAAAACCATTGAGTTATATGTACTACGTACTAAAGAAGACATTCCGAACATTGACTATGTTCAACTGAACTGTAGTGCAATCCGTACAAACTAAATATTGCGTAAATTGAAGATTTGTGAATTCCATAAAATTATTATTATTACATTTTATTTAGAAATATAACATTTTTGTTTAGATGAAATTAAGATATTTTATATTAAATTCTTATATTTATTTTATATTAATATCTTATTTTATATCAAATTAAAGTCTTCGCGCATGCGCGACTACTACTCCCGCGCATGCGCGAAAACATAGAGTAGGACACAGTTTTTGTTTGAAATGGTTTCTCTAGTACGTAGTATAACTCAATGGATAAAACACAACTATTTGATCGTTTGCGATGTGGGGAGCTTTGGGTAAATGAATGACTCGTGACAATGGCTCAAATAATAAATAAATAAAAATAATAACGTAACAACGGTTACCAGACACTATTAGCAATGAATTGAAAAAAAAATGGGTTTTATTGTTAAAAACCTTAGAAATTTAATTTTAAAAAAGGAGCAGACTTCATCTTAGACAAGTTTGGCTTAATATGTTCTAAATGGTTTAAGGTATCATCCCCTTCAAGCTTTGCACCCATCTTCCAAACACCCTGTAACAAAGGAAGGTTAACGTTCACGCTGGTATGTAGGTTGGTTCCTAGTGACGGTTTCCAATGAATTATTATTACCTTCAAGTTACATGGTATGATTTTATTACAATCCTTATATGGATAAAACATCGAGTTACATCGAATAAAGTCTCAAATATAGTTCTCAGTAGAAATGGTATTTAATTACAGTATTCTTAGAATTTATCAATTTGATTCTCTTACCTAGCTACCTACCTAAACTCCTTACACGTTTTGTTATTCGTATTGATTATTATTCTGATATTAGATAAAAATAATCATTGATATGTAGTATGTAAATATAAATTGAAGTTAGAACTGATATTAGACAATCATGAACGTTGAAGAACTAATCAGTGATAGGTTATCGAATAGCACATTCCACTGACGTAGATATACATAGATATAGGTATCTGGTAGATATCATATCGCCACACCTCACTTCATTGCGTGGCAGTTTAAAATTTGACTTCAGAGAAGGCACACGTGTTTATATAATACCTACACAACTCTGTCACATTATAAGTTTTCTTTCGTTGTTTTTCTTCAATAATCTCATTAAGATAATAGTCGTCGTTTCTGCGACAAATATTTACGAATATAACGAAACCTATATTAAATTTACGAGCGCTTGAAGAACGAGCGTAAAAGAACATCTGATCACTAAAATTTTCATTCAACAAAGCATCAATTGCATAAAAAAATTTAAAGCCTTGTGCTGAAATGGGAATATTCTGCGAAATAAACTTATTCAAACCATGTGATGGAGTATTTATTGCTGGGAGTACAGTTAGAGGAATGATAAGATATGCTGTAGACAAAGAAATGACTTGCACTCAAATTACTGTGTCTTTAAAAGGTAAAGGTGAATTGAGATTACGGAGAAAAGACAATGACAAGAGCGAGCAGCAAACCTACTGGAGTAGAGAAGAATACCTAGATATAAACAATGTAATTACAGAAACAGGTAAAAACACTGTAATTCCAATAGGGTCGTATGAGACGCCGTTTAATTTTCAATTGCCATACAACATTCCGCCGACGTTTCACTACTCGAATAGCACCTTTCCGTACGATATCTATTCTAATATTCGATATCATGTCTGCATCAAATTTGAGAGACCCGGCTTTTGGAAATTTAATAAAAATTTCAAAAAAGATATTATTGTGGAATCTGGAATATCTCCGAGGCTACCACTCGAACCTGTTATATACGGAGAGCAGAAAAAGTTAAGGCAGTTGTTTAGCCGTAAGAATAGTATTGTTACCATAAAAGCTAGTGTAGCTAAATCAGTAATTGCTCCTGGTGAGAAAGTAGAGTTGGAATATGAAGTAACAAATGATACGAACGTTACTGTGAAAGCGGTGGAAATAAAAATTGTGGAAGAGTTTAAATTCACAACTAAATCCCGAACAGCGACACAAAATTGTGACGTCCCGCAAACGGAATCCAAAACGGGGTCGATTAGACCCAACGAAAGTCTAGCAATGCGTGTTGACATTGTTGTACCTCCAAACAGGAAATCACTTGATTTCTCTAAAATTGTAGCGAGAGATTATTTTGTGCTTATAACTGTGGAGCTCCCTTTTCCACATTTTAATGCAAGGCTACAAATTCCTATTCAAATTGGCAACACTGAGGAGAGCAACTATCTCCAGCCGCCTCCGCCTCCGTCCTACTGGGAAGCGATGGGCGAAGATGAAAAAGATGACAAAGACTATGGAAAAGATGTCAAAGATTAATCTCTTATTAATTAGAAAACAGTAAAGGTAAATAGTATTTTATTTATTAATTAATAAGAAAATGTTATCATATAAGTAAATATTTTATTTTATATGCTAAATGATAAAATAAATTTTGGTGTTGATTGATGAAACATTTAATATAATCTATTTAAAAAAAATACGTAATTTGTTTTAATAAGGTTCATTTAAATATTAAAAAATACATTCAGTAGTCCTTTATTTCATATTCTTCTGTTTGATAGAAAGTTCTTTTTTGTCTTTCACTTCAAAAAGGAGACGGTACTCAATTCGACTGTATATTTTTTATCTTTTTTATGTTTTTTCTGGGTGAACCGATTCCGATGATTCTTTTTATTATTTGAAAGCTTTTAAGTGCTTTTCATGTGGTCCCATATACATTTGATCAAGGTCTGACCAATAGTTTTTGAGTTTTCCTTAATAATATTATTCATAAGTATATTATATATATTGAAATAATAATAATATTATATTATTCATATATTAAGAGTGAAGAATCGTCTGAACTTCTGAAGTAAGTGAAATAGAAGTTCCGAAAGAAGTGGAGAGAGGTAGGGAGATAAGTGTAGATGAAATAATGAAAGCAATGAAAAGCATGAAAGCAGGTAAGGCAGCCGGATATGATAGAGTATCACTCGAAATGCTAAGGGCTGGAGAGGGTGTGGTTGCAGGCCTGCTGTACACCTTGTTTAATTTATGTTGGGAACTGAAGCAGGTACCGGAAGACGGGTGCAAAGCCGTTATAGTCCCAATATATAAGGGAAAGGTAAAAACTACCGTGGTATCAGCTTGCTTATCATTGTGGGTAAACTGTATGCTAAGGTGTTAATTGAAAGAGTTATGGAAGAAACTGATGGAAAAATTTGGGATGTGCAAGCTGGATTTAGAAAGGTGATGGGGTGTAAGGATCAAGTCTTTTCCATGCGCATAATTGCGGAGAAATTTTTGGCCAAAAACCAGAAAGTTTTTTGTGCGTTCATGGACTTTGAAAAGGCTTATGACAGAGTGGACAGGAACGTGTTATGGCAAACACTGACCTCATTTGGGTTGAGCGCTGGTCTGATACAGGCATTAAAGTCTCTTTATAGGGACTCTAGTGCTTGTGTCAGGATCAACGGGGGTTTACTCGGACTGGTTTGGCATTCAAAAAGGTGTCAGACAGGGCTGTGTAGCTTCTCCATGGCTGTTTAACCTATTTATGGACAGTTGTTTGCAAACTTTGAAAGTTGAAGAATGTGGGTTGAGAATGGGTGCGTTAACCGTCAAATGCCTTTTGTACGCCGATGATGAAGTCATATTGGCATCGTCGGCGGCCGAGTTACAAATGATGGTTACTTTAATAAACTGGTCATTAAAAGAAAGGGGTATGAAAGTGAACGCAAGTATGACAAAAGTGATAGTTTTTGAAAGAGAAGAAAGTAAAACGTTATGTGAAATAAGAATAGAAGGGGAGTTGATTGAGCAAGTGGATGAGTTTGTTAGGTCTAGCAGAAGACGCATGAGAGTAGAATAAAGGCTGTAGAAATGCGGTCATTAAAGAGTATGCTAGGGCTGAATCTGAATGACAGGGTGAGAAATAGTGTGATAAGAGAAAAGTGTGGTGTGCAAGATGACGTTGTGACTAAGATTAAAAAAGGAATGCTCCGGTAGTTTGGTCACGTAGAAAGAATGAACGAGGAAAGAGTGACAAAGCAAATTTATGTTTCAGAAGTGAACGGCAAAGTCGTGAAGGGACGCCCTAGACGAAGATTTATCGACCAAATCGGCGATACATTGAAAATGGGCCAGATTAGGAGTACCCTTAACCGACGAGCGTGTATGCGTTAATATATGGATGTAAAGGAGGCGAGAGAGGTGTGTCAGGATTGCGCCAAATGGAAGTCGTTTTGTACTAGACTGCGTTTCTACTGGGTAATAATTCTATGGTCTGTCATTATACTGGTTTTCTTGCCCATCGATCGGATAAGAACAGCTTGCCACCTGATGGTAAGTGGATGCTGTGGACCATAGACATTTACATTTATCCCCAATAAAGTATCAAAATGCAGACGCGTTGTCACACCTGTGGATTAAAATGGAATGAGTCGTTTCGGTTCCTCTAAGTATTAAGTATTCTGTAAGATCGTAGTCCTTCCCCTTTCAAGCCGTTCGTGCTACAATTATAATATACCTGCAGCATGACTCTACCACGTATTAAGATAAGAGGCCGGTAACAATCAAGATGTACACAGTGTTAAAGCTAATCCATATCCTTACCCAATTTGTGAAGTTAGTTAAGCGTAGTTAGATGTATTTTTATCAGAAACCCGTCTCACAGTCAGTAGGGAAAGACGGTTCCGTGGCACAGTTGCTTACCAATGAATTGCAGCGCTGGCAGCTGCGGGATCGAATTCTGCACGGAATAAGTATTTGTACATTCTACAAATAATTGTTCCGGGTCTGGATTATTGTCCTTGCGTGATTTATTTTATTTTATTTTATTTTCATATTATGGAAAACCAACAGCTTCCAAAATTTAAGTAAATAAAGTGTTAAATTTACAAAAAAGCCAATAACAGGTTCTCACTAATAGAAATACACTAACATAATCGATTTCGTTGTTTAAAGGACATAGCATAAATATGAGCAACAAAAATGGAATCTAATTAAAATGAACAACATGCATAAATTTAATAAGTGAAACTAACAATAGTAGCCACAAAAGAAAAGAAAAAGCAGGACTAAACAAACAATATAATTTTTCTTAAAATAAATTAAATTATGACATAAAAAACTCCCGACTTAATGCCCGCCTTGCCGATATATAGCTAGTATTAAACAAATCAAAATCATGCTTTTTGCATAAATTATTAAAATTATTAATAGACCGATACATGAAAGTATTTCTTCCATAATTAGTTGATGAAGTTGGTAAGTAGAGTAATGCATTCGTTCTAAGGTTCACTATAGGCGTTCTCAGTGATATTTGTGATAGCAAATCAGAACAGTCAACATTGCCAGAACAGATTTTCAATAAAAATACAATGTCAGCAATCTCCCGACGCTTTATCAGAGGTAGCAGATGATGGTGTTTGCATAAGGATAAGTAGTCTTCTGATCGGTAGTTCCTATTGGTACGATAGCAAAGATATCGTATAAATTTACGTTGGATATTTTCAATCCGTGAAATGTATGTATGATACATCGGGTTCCAAATCTGTGAAGCATATTCAAGCGTACTGCGGACGTAAGTACAGTACAAGATTTTAATTGTTTTAATATTATTAAACTCCTTTGCAGTACGCATGACAAAACCTAACGCCTTAGATGCCCTAGTTATGATATTGTCAACATGGGTGTGGAATAATAACTTAGAGTCGTGGAAAATCCCTAGATCACGTACAACAGATTCTTTTTGTAACTTCTGGCCTTTAAGGTGATGGCCGAAATTAATTAAGTTTCGCTTGCGTGAATATGTAATAAGGGTACATTTTGATGGGTTTAGATCAAGCTTATTGATATTACATTATTCTTCCAATCTTAGTAGATCTCGCTGCAGTAATTCAGCATCATCCTGAGATGAGATTGTGGAAAATATTTTCATATCATCAGCAAAACACAGTAGGTGTGATGATTTAAAACAGGTTTCAATATCGTTTACAAATATAAGAAATAGCAACGGCCCCATCAAGGACCCCTGTGGCACACCACTCGGTATTGACACCCAACCTGATATGTAATTGTTAACAACTACAGCCTGCGAGCGATTGTCGATATAAGAGGAGAACCACCGCAGTAGGTCTCCACATATACCAACATACTGAAGCTTTTTTAAAAGCAAATTATGTTCAATCCGGTCGAAAGTCTTACTATAATCTGTATAAATAACGTGAACTTGATGACCATCATCCATGGCTTTAGTCAAGAAAGAATTGAGGAGCACCAAGTTGGAAACGGTAGATCTACCCTTGAAGAAACCATGTTGAGACTGGATTATGCTTTGTTTTAGTAACGGATATACCTGCTAATAAATCAACTTTTCAAAGACTTTGGAAATGATGCACAACTTAGAAATTGGCCTATAATTAGCGACATCGGTCCTAAGAACCTTCTTGTGCACAGGGGTGATATACTCGTATGCACGCTTCCAAATATCAGGAACTGAGCATTCATGCAACGATTTGCGAAATAGCAAACTTATTGGTAGTGTTAACGTCTCTGCACAATTAATAAGAAAAGTGGCTGGTAGGTTATCAGGTCCGGCGGATTTTGATGGATCAAGAGCTTTCAACAACCGATACACGTGCTCAACGTTAACTTCTATATTTCGAAATATTTGCAGTCGATTTTGATGTTACATTAGAAACATTTGGAGTTGATTGAGTGCCCGGGTATAAGAAATTTGACTTGAAATAAGTTGCAAACGCATCATTGATAGACTGTCCTGTGTTATAAATTACACTACCTAAATTGAGATTACTTGGAATAGAGTTAGTTTTTGATTTACGTTTAACATATGACCAGAAATATTTAGGATTTTTTTCTATTGACCTTTCAACGGTTGATATGTAGTTTTTATGACACATATCTTCCAAATATTTTACACGAGTGCGCAATATTTTATAAGATTCTTCATCGGATCTATTACCGTAGATCCTAAATTTACGAAGGTACTTATGTTTTTCTTTAATTGCTTTATTTAATGCTGGGGAATACCACGAATGGTAGGAGTCCGGTTTAATTATTTTTGATGGTATATGCTTATCTCTTAATTTCTCAAATACTTCATAAAAATATTTAATGGAATCATTAAGAGATTTCGAAGAAAATTCGGTTTGCCAATAGATTTCAGCATATTTTTCATTAATTGATTGATAATCACCTTTATTATAAAAAAAAAACTTAATAAACGGAGTTGTTTTAAGTGTGCTTAACTCATAAAAACGTACTTCAATTACTAACGCTCCGTGAAAGGGATCTACTGGTACCAAAGAGTCGTC